CTCCCTCCCTCTCCCTGTCTTTCCCTCTCCCTCCCTTTCCCCCTCCCTCTCTCTCCCTCTCTCTCTTTCTGTCTCTCTCTGATACACACACGCTCGCTCGCTCGCTCGCTCGCTCACACACAGGCACACATCCCCCTTCCTGGACACTGTGGTGTAGATCTCATGGGAGATATCTGCAAAATGGGAGCAGAAGAGGTCCTGGGACTGCCCTGGGCCTATGTTCCATTCCACCAAATCTCAGCTCACACAGGGCCTGTGGACAGTGAGTCAGGTGTTTGTATTTCAATCGCTGTGAATTAACTTGGACTAAGGAGTGGGAATATGGCGTTCTGACACGTGCTTACTCACCAATGACTTCCACAGGCCATCAAGAACAAGTACTCCAGCAGCAAACTCCTGAAGATCAGCACAATCCCTCAGCTGAACTCCAAGACCATCAAAGACCTGGCCGCCTCCCTGGTGGAAAGGTCCTAGGCCTCTGAGCCTTCACCCACCATGCTTTCTCCTTACTTTGGAACTCTTCATTTTGTACAGTATCATCCTCTGGCCTCTTTCACAAAATCCCTTCCTCAGACTGATTTTTTTTTTCTAAATTGTATATTGAGAAAAATAAAGCTATTGATCCTCCCATGTGTGTATAGTCCAGGCCAAAAGAAAGAAATCAGCGGACACCTGCTTGGGCTAATTTCTGAAACGTGCTTAGGGATAAGTGCATGAATGTCATTGCTTTCGTGGCATCCTGTCCTCAGGGAATGCTAGCTGAGCTTTTTATTATTTTTTTTGCCAGTCCTGGGGCTTGAGTTCAGGGCCTGAGTGCTGTCCCTGAGCTGCTTTTGCTCAAGGCTAGTTGCCTTACCAATTGAGCCACAGCTCCACTTCCATTTTCAGACGGTGAATTAAGGACTAGCTGGGCTGTCTTCGGTCCTCAGTCCTCAGATCTCAGCCTCCTGAGTAGCTAGGATTATGGGCAGGAGCCTCCCCTCTAGCACCCAGCTTATTATACAGATTTTATATTCAAGGAATACCAGGATACCTTTTAGGACCTCCTCACCTGCTCTCTATTCCCTGCTTAGGAACATTTGTTCTCTGGGGTGATGGTCAACAAAATAACCCAGTAAAGGGGCTCAGGAGGACGGTGAGACCAAGAGTGTGCTGGAGGAAGGTAATGCACTTACCACTTCCTAGTAATGGTGACACTTGGAATTCCTTTCTTTTTTTTTCTGTCGGTGAAGGGGCTTAAACTCTGGGCTTGAGCGCTGTCCCTCAACTTTTCAGCTCAAGGCTAGCGCTCTACCACTTGAGCTACAGTGCCACTTCCAGTTTTCTGGTGGTTTATTGGAGATAAGAGTTTCACGGACTTTCTTGCCTGGGCTGGCTTTGATCTGCGATCCTCAGATCTCAGCCTCCTGAGTAGTTTAGGATTACAGGCGTGAGCCACTGGCACCCGGCTTGACACTTGGAATTTCTTTCCCCAATGCCCTGTCTTAGCTACAGAAGGTTTAAGTGTGGAGTGTGGTGGTGGGCATAGGCGTGTATATGGACACTGAATCATTTAGTGGTGATTTGTCATCATTTTTACCCTTTGTGCATGCTAGGCAAACAGTCCCTCACCGAGGTATATCCCTTTAATATTTTTTTCTCAAGGGGAAATAGCCCCAGATTCCAAGCACAAATGTAAATGCATAGACAAATCTAACATAACCTCTTAGAACCAAGGCTTTCAAAACTTTTCAATGAGGTGCCAAGAGAAAACAGTCAAGTCAATTTGGAAACATTGCAAACTTAAGGGGCACGTCAGTTTATAAGTACAATGCATCTTGGTGGTTGTCACCCCTTTTCCTCATTCTTCCCATCTTCTCCCCACCCCTCTTCTCAAGTGACCTGAATCCATTTTCCATTTTCACGTATACATGCCTGTCCTTCCCCTCCCCGGACACCCCATCCCTAAGAAAACATGATTTGGCTTCCTGGATTCCTGTGTGTGTATATCTCTGTAGATGAGGCTGTTTTCATGTATGTGTGTAATTAAGATCCAAGTTCACATATGAGAGAAAACATGTGCTGATTGTGTCTCTGAGCCTGACTGAGCATAATTTTTTCCAAATCCATTTTCATGAAAATGACATGCTTTCTGATAAGTAAATTTTATTCTGTATATGTACCACATTTTTTTTTTGATCCATTCATCTGTTGTACGGTATCTGGGCTGGTTCTGTACTTTTGGCTATGGTGACTAGAACAGTAATGAATATATGGATGTCCAGTGTCTTTACTGTAACCTGATTTGTAATATTCAGGGTAGATGCCCTGAATGGCTGGGTGGGAAGTTCTATGTTTAGTTTTTGATTGTTGTTGTAGTTGGTTTATTCTACGAGTCCTGGGGCTTGAACTCAGGGCCTGGGCGCTGTCCCTGAGCTTCTTTGGCTCAAGGCTAGCACTCTACCACTTGAGCCACAGTGCCACTTCTGGCTTTTTCTGTTTATGTAGTACTGAAGAATCGAATCCAGGGCTTCATGCATGCTAGGCAAGCACTCTTAACCACTAAGCCATTCCTATGTCTAGTTTTTTGAGTAATCAACAAAACTGCCACCCAGAATGGTTGTACATTCCCACCAACATTGTAATTGGGTTCCTTTTCCCCACATCCCCGCCAGCATTTGTTGTTCACATTCTCAATACTGCCAATCTAACTGGGGTGTAATGGAACCACAATATGTTGTTTTTGTTATTTGTTCATTTTGTGCCAGTTTTGGGGCTTGAACTCAGGGCCTGGGTGCTGTTACTTGAGCTTGTTTGCTCAAGGTTAGTGGTCTACCACTTTAACCACAGTTCTACTATGGCTTTTTTGGTGGTTAATTGCAGATAGGAGTCTTACCGAGTTTCCTGCCTGGGCTGGAGCCTCAATCCTCAGCTCTCAGCCTCCTGAGTAACTAGGATTATAGGTGTGAGCCACTGGTGGTTGGCTCTTAATGTTGTTTTGATTTGCGCTTCCTTTATGGCCAGGGATATTGAGTATTTCCTCACGTGTTTATTGGCTATTCTTGTTGCTTCTGCTAGTCTGGAGCTCCTTTGCTTCTTTATTGAGTTATTGCTTTCAGGGGGTTTCTTGAGCGCCTTGTGTATTTTGCATATTAGGCCTTTGTCTGATGTATAGCTGGTAAAGATCTTCTCCCATTTTGTAGGTCATCTTCTTAGTAACTATGTCCTTAGCTATGCAGACACTTTTTAGTTGGATGTAATCCCATTTGTTGATTCTCCAATTTGCTGGGACCCTGGAATTCTACTCAGTAAATTCCCACCTATACCAATAAGTTCTGTTTCTCTTGCCTCTTCCTGTACAATTATCAAGATTATCAGGCCTGAGGTTAAGATCTTTGATCCATTTTGAGTTGATACTAGTGAAATGTGACAGACATGGATCCAATTTGCCTTTGGTGTATAGATGTTCAATTTTCCCAGCACCATTTATTGAGAAGCTGTCTTTTTTCCAGCATATCTATTTGGCTTGTCAATTATCAGATGGCTGTTAGGTATATGGGTTTATTTCTGGGTTTTCTACTCTATTCCATTGGTCTTCAGGCTGTTCATGCCAATACCAACTTATTTTTTGTTATGACTATGTAGGTGTGTTTGAGGTATGGAATTGTGATACCTCCAACCATTGCTTTTTTTTTTTTTTCCCAGACTTTCTTCAGCTATTCAGGGTCTTTTGTAGTTCCATATGGATTCTGGGATTGTTTTGTCAATCCCAGTGATTTTGGTGGGTATTGCACTGAATTTGTAGATCAGCTCTGGCAGTATGGCTATCTTTTACATATTCTGCCAGTCTAAGAATGTGGGAGGTCTTTCCACTTTCTGGTGTACTCTTGAGTTTCTTTCTACAGAGTTTTATTTGGGTTTCATGTAGAGGTCCTTCACTTCCTTGATTAGATTTGTTCCTAGGGTTGTTTTCCTTTTTTGTTTTTGAGGTTTTTTACAAATGGAATTCCTTTCCTGATTTCTCTGGCCTGAGCAGAAAAGCTACTGATTATTATTATTATTATTTTTGTCGGTCGTGGGGCCTGAACTCTGGGCCCAGGCACTGTCCCTCAGCTCTTCAGCCAAAGGCTAGAGCTCTATCACTTGAGCCACAGCACCACTGCCAGCTTTTTCTGTTTATGTGGTACTGAGGAATCGAACCCAGGGCCTCATGCATGCAAGGCAAGCACTCTACCACTGAGCCACCTTTCCGGTCCAAAGCTACTGATTTTTGTGGGCTAATTTTATATCTTGCAACTTTGCCAAAGTTGTTGATCAGCTCTAGAGTGAACTCTAGGGTTCTTTTTTTTTTTTTTTTTGTCAGTCGTGGGGCTGTGAACTGCAATCCTTAGATCTCAGCCTTCTGAGTAGCTAGGATTACAGGCGTGAGCCACCTACGCCCAGTTCTCTCTAGGGTTCTTTAGCTAAAGGATCATGCTATTGGCAAATAGGGACAGTTTGACTTCCTCTTAAGCTATTCGGATCCCTTTTACGTCTTTCTTTTGCCTCATTGCTCTGGCTAGGAATTCTATTACTATTGTAAAGGAGCCGAGAAAGCAGACATCTTGCCTTGCTCTGAAGATTTTAGAGCACATGGTTTCAGTTTTTCACCAGGAAGTATGATGTTAGCTATACATTAGTCATAGATAATCTTTATTATGTTGAAGTTTATACTTACTCCTAGCTTCTCCAGAGCTTTTATCATAAATGGATGTTGGATTTTATTGAAGGCTTTTTTTTCTGTATTTGTTGATGGGATATGTGATTTTTGTCCTTGACTATATTAATGTGATATATTACATTAATTGATTTATATATTATAAAGCAGCCTTGCATCTCTGGGATGAAACTGACTTGACCATAGTAAATGATTTTGTTGTTTGTTGTTGAATTCATTTTGTTTTGGCTTTTGTTTTTTTTTTGGTCGTGGGGCTTGAACTTTGGGCCTGGACACTGTGTCTGAGCTCTTCAGCTCAGGGCAAGTGCTCTACCACTTGAGTCACAGCACCAATACTGGTTTTCTGGTGGTTAATTGGAGATAAGCATCTCACAGACTTTCCTGCCCAGATTGGCTTTGAACCATGATCCTCAGATCTCAGTCAGCTGAGTAGTTTAGAATTACAGGTGTGAGCCACCAGCGCCTGGCTTGCATTTCATTAGTTTTGTGTCTATGCAGATCAGCGATTGGTCTATAGTTCTCTTTTTTTCCTGAGGTCCCTACCTGGTTTGGGGATGAATGTAAAGCGAGGGTCATAGAATGAGTTTGGTAGTAATCCTTTCCTTCTTATTTCATGGAAAAGTTTGAAGAGTACTGGAATTAGTTTTTCTTTATATGTCTTACAGAATTTAGCTATGAATCCATCATACCCTAGATTTTTCCTTGTTGGGAGACTTACTACTTCATCTCATTGCTTATTAATGGCTCTGTTTAAGTGGTTCAGGTTTGGCAGCTCTGTGTCGCCAGAAATTTACCCGTTTCTTCTACATACAAGTTTATTTGAGTTGGGCCTTTAAGACAGTCCCTCATAATCTTTTGGATTTCTTTGATATTGTAATATTGTCTTTTTTCATCTCTAATTCTGTTGATTTGGCCTCTTCTCTCATTTTTCTTGTCGAAATAGCTATAGGTTTTGTCAGTCTCTGATTTTTTTCAAAGAACCAGCTTTTTGTTTCCTTCATTCTAGTTTCTTTAGTCTCTAATTCATTAATTTCTGACTCTTACTACCTTATTCAGTCTAGTTGTTTTGTGTTTGATTTATTCCTATTTTTCTATAAGTTTTAGTTGTATCGGTTATTTACTGAAATTTCTGTTCTTTTTATGTAGGTGCTTAGAGCTATGAACTTTGATCTCTTACTACTTTTGCTATATCCCAGAGTTCTGGTAGGATACACTTTCATTAGTTTGCAGGAACTTTTTGATTTCTCCCTTTCTTTGTTCAGTCACCCAGCTGTTATTCAACAATGTGTTGCTTATTCTCCATATGTTTGAATATATTTTGAGGGTTTTTTTGTTGAATTTTTTTGTTATTATAAAGGTGATTTACAGAGGGGTTACAGTTTCATAAGTCATGAGTACATTTCTTTTTGGATCATGTCACCCCTTCCCTCACTCCCAGTTTTTCCCTCATGCCCATCCACCAGTCGTATAGTTCATTTTCCACAGTGTCCAGTGAGTACTACTGTTGCATTGTTCATGCTTTGTCCATTTCTGTGTTCTCCTTTAACCTCCCAAAGACAGATAAATGAACAAACAAGACAAAAGGCAAACAAAGACAGCAACAAAAAAAATGCCTCTCGTTTCCATTTCCTGGAGTTCATTTTGCTAAATATTATTTTATATGATCAAATCACATAAGTCTTGCACCTCTGGTCTCAATGTACGAATGTCTAGTCTAATTTATAGTTTATAATATATAATTGTTAATGTCCTAGTGTATTTTAGATCTAGCCTTTGCATATGACAGAAAATATGTACTGTTTGTGTTTTGAGCTTGGCTTGCCTCATTTAATGTTTGTTTTTTTGTGTGTGTATGTCCTGATCCTGGGGCTTGAACTTAGGGCCTGGGATCTGACCTGTTGTGCTTAAGTCTCATAGACTTTCCTGTCAGGCTGGCTTCAAACCTTTATCCTCAGATCTCACACTTGTGAGTAGCTAGAATTACAGGCCTGAGCCACTGGTGTCTGAACCTTGTATCTTTTGTTATTGACTTCTAGGATAGTTCCATTGTGGTCAGATAGAATACAGGGTCTTACTTCAATTTTCTTGTACTTGTTCAGTCTGGCTGTGTGTCCTAGGATATGAGCTATTTTGGAGAAAGTCCCATGGGCTGCTGAGAAGAATGTATATCATGTGGTTACTAGGTAAAGTACTCCATAGATATTTATTACATCATTTTGGGTTGTAGTGTCATTTAACTTGGGGTTTCTTTGCTTGTAAGTCCAAGAGTGTTTTGTTAATTGAACTTGGTTGTGCTATTAGTTGCATGTATGCTGACCACTGTAATTCCTTCTTCATAGGTTATAACATTTAACCAATGTGAAGTGACCTCCTTTGTCAATCTGATCTTAGCCTGAAGTTGATTTTATCAGTTATAAATATGACTATTTGCCAAGTGTCGGTGGCTCACACCTGTAATGCTAGCTACTCAGGAGGCTGAGATCTGAGGATCACAGTTCAAAGCCAGCCTGGGCAGGAGAGTCTGTGAGAATCTTATCTCCAGTAAACCACTCAGAAAACCAGAAGTGGCACTGTGGCTCAAGTGGTAGAGTGCTAGCCTTGAGCTGAAATGCTGAGGGACAGTGCCCAGGCTCAGAATTCAAGCCCTAAAACCACAAAAATAAATAAGACAATTCCTATCTTCGTACAGGATGTGTTTGCTTTGAAGGTCATTTTTTCAATTTTTGATCAGTTCCTGAGGCTTGGACTCAGGGCTTAGGCGCTGACCCTGAGCTGGTTCACTGAAGGCTAGTGCTCTACCACTTTGAGCCATGGCTCCATTTCTGGTTTTCTCATGGACTTTCTTACCGAGGCTGGCTTCAAACTGTGATCCTCAGATCTCAGTCTCCTAAGTAGCTAGAATTACAGGTGTGAGCCACCAGCAACTGTCTATCATTTTTGTTAGTAAGACTTTTTTTTTTTTGGCCAGTCCTAGGGCTTGAACTCAGTGCCTGGGCACTGTCCCTGAGCTTCTTAGGCTCAAGGCTAGCAATCTACCAATTGAGCCACAGTGCCACTTCTGGCTTTTTCTGTTTATGTGGTACTGAGGAACAAAACCCAGGACTTCATGCATGCTAGGCAAGCGTTCTACCACTAAGCCATATTCCTAGCCCAGTGAGATTTTTAAATTCAGGCTGCTGTTCTACATCTTTGTTTTGTTGGTCATGGGCTTGAACTCTGGGCCTAAGTGCTGTCTCTCAGCTCTTTTTGCACAAGGCCAGTGCTCTACTACTTTGCGCCACAGTGCTACTTCCAGTTTTCTGGTGATTAATTGGAGATAAGAGCTTCCAGGGGACTTTTCTGCCTGGGCTGGCTTTGAACTATAGATGCTCAGATCTCAGCCTCCTGAATAGCTAGGATTATAGGTGTGAGCCACTGGTGCCTGGCCTCTATATCTTTTAATTGGAGAGTTGAGCCTGCTGATTACTGGATGCATTAATTAATGTTTCTATTGAGAACGATACTGTATTTTCTGTCTTTGTGTGTGTGTGTACGCACGCGTGTGCGTGTGTGCATGTGCATGTGGTTTTTTTTCCTCTTGTTTTTACTAATCTATTCCTGTAGTAGGGTGTATTCCTATAATTTCTGTTTTTGAGTGTCTTTTTCTAAGGCTACTATTCTCTTAAGTATTTTTTTTTTTTTTTTGGGTGTCAGTCATGGGGCCTGAACTCTGGGTCTGGGCGCTGTTCTTCAGCTCTTCAGCTCAAGGCAAGCGCCCTACCATTTGAGCCACAGCACCACTTCCTGCCTTTTCTGCTTATGTGGTGCTGAGGAATCGAACCCAGGGCCTCATGCATGCAAGGCAAGCGCTCTACCACTGAGCCACCTTCCCAGCCAAGTGAGGAATGTATGCCTTAGTGGAAGGACACGGTTATCACCCACAACAAACAAGAGGGCAGAATTGGATGGTCATTGATTTCTTTATTCATTTAGGAGGTAGGGGGTGGTCCTAGGGAAAAAAGAAAGACCTCCCAGGGAAAGGGTCTGTTGGGACTGAGCTGGAAAGGAGTGGGGGTTTCAGTAAGTACCTGGGTGGGAGATATGGCATGAAACCTTACCTTTGGGAATGAGTACAGTGGAATACTGAATACATTCATACACATTTCTATCATCTGATTTTCTTATATTTATATATATACACACACATACAGTATAATCTTTTTATAAATGTACAGCTTGAGCAAAGAAAGATCCTTCTTGTAATAGCAGTACAGCATGACACACACAGACAAACAGAAACCAACATGGGCCAGCCAAATTCCAATCGAAGACCCAGAGATACCGCAAGGCTCCCAGCCCCGCCCCCTGGCACAGGTAAGCCAGCCTACCCTTGACCTTGAGGTGGTGAGTGTCCATTCTCACCCAGCCCTCCCTGAGGGAAGATGCAGATAGGAATGTTATTGGGGGTGGGAGGGGAGGGAAAAGAAATAAGAGGAAAGAAATGTGCTCTTCAACTCCAGGCACTGGTCGGAGAGCCTTCCCTCTCTTCCCATTCACCGGGTTTAAATACAATAAATAAATCTTAGGAAACCTTGTGCTGCTTTGCCCTGCTGGTTCCTACAACCAGGCTGCTTTTAATCCTTTTGGGTCACTTACGAGTGACAGCTCCCTAGTCCGGAAGCCACAGTTCTCCATGTCTTCTTAGGGGAAGGTGGTAGAATGGTTCCAGGCCTTGGAGAAGTAAGTAATTGCTCACTGTGGATCAGAAGAGTTGGGGTGGGGAGAGTCCCCCACCAAATGCTCTCAAGTCTGCATCTGGAGCACCTCTGTCTCTTGCTGGAGTCTCTGGGTGCCTCAGATCTTGGTCACGTAATTGTTGGGGAAGAGGCCTTGTTTGCCACGCAGTCGGCCGGTCCACCAGCCGGATGGATCTGCGGGGGAGAAGGTGCATGCAGGTGAGCCACACACGCTCTGCTCTACGCCCCAGACACCTTTCTTTTTCCCTTCTAGGTTTGGTTATTAGAAAAGTTCTTTGAAGCTGGGTGCTAGTGGCTCATGCCTGTAATCCTAAGCTACTCAGGAGGCTGAGATCTGAAGATCACGGTTCAAAGCCAGCCCAGGCAAGAAAGTCGGTGAGACTCTTCAATGAACCAGAAAACCGGAAGTGGTGCTGTGGCTCAAGTGATAGTGCTCGCCTTGAGCTGAAGAGCTGAGGGACAGTGCCCAGGCCCGGAGTTCAAGCCCCACAACCGACAAATAGAAAAGAACTTCGCAAGGAGAACCTATCACCATGGCAGACACAAAAACACCAGTACTCAGATCTGCCTTTGGGGTGCTGCCTGGGATCCCTCTAATGTGGGTGTAGTCTGCCAGGGACAGCTGGTAAGATAGGGCTTTTCTATGTGACCCAGGCTAGGCCCTGAACTGACAATCTCCTGCCTCAATCTGAATGTTGAGATTGCAGGCATGCACTACCATCTTTGGTTACCTTTTGAGGCTTTGTGTATGAGCTAAAGATACAATTGTGTGGCTGGGCAGCTGTAGCTCCACTACCCTGGAGGCTGAGATCACAGGATCATGGTTCCAAGTCAGCCCAGGCTCAAGAGTTCAAGCCCCAACCGTGGCACACACAAAATTGTCCTTTGCCATTTGAATGAAAATGCATCGGTCTCTGTGTGCACCCATGCCACAGTTTTAAGGTTTAGCACTTTGCTTCTGATAAAAACCATATTGATGGTCATAAAACTTATTTCTAGGCAAATTGGAAAAAAAAAAAGCAATACTTTGGGGAGGGCTAGGCAAGGAGGATTGTGGTCGCAGGATGGCTGCAGTCTTCCTGATCTCTGCCTCTTAGGTAGCTGGGATCAGAGGTGAAAGCCATTGCTTTTTCTCAAAATAACTAATAAAGCACTTAGCCAACCAAGCCCACGAACCACATCATAGATTTCCTTCCTGGCGCTGCCTCTTTCCATTATGAGGAAGCTATAAGAATGGGGGTTGGGGGGGGCGTGTAAACCTCAGGTTCACTTTCTTAGGGCAATCCCTGACAGGTCTAACTCTTGCTGCAGAGATGAGTTCAGAGATGGGTGGCTTTAGCCAATCAGAATGACACAAGACTTGTGTCCAGGGTCTGGGAAGGTGGCTCAGCAGTAGAGTGCTTGCCTCACATGCATGAGGCCCTGGGTTCGATTCCTCAGCACCACATAAGCTGAAAAGGCCGGAAGTGGCACTGTGGCTCAAGTGTGGTAGAGCATGAGCCTTGAGCTGAAGAGCCGAGGCGCAGCACCCAGGCCTAGAGTTCAAGCCCCACGACTGACAAGACTTGTGTTCAAGCTGGGTGTCCAAATGGTTCACATCTATAATCTAGGACTTGTGGATTGCAGTTCAAAACCAGCCTGGGCAGAAAAAGTCCTCCACCATAGCCAACTATCCAGATTCCCCACCATGGATGAATGGATTAAGGAAATGGATATAAATCACATAAGTCTGTGATTTGCATGGAAATGGATGGGCCTAGAAAAATTAAGAGACATAAATCAGGCTCAATGAGACAAATGGTACGTCTTTTCTCTCATTTGTGGAAGTGAGTTCTAAGTTCTAAATGTGAAAAGATAGGGCATCATCCTATGCACATATACACCAACAAGTTGACTGAAGCATGCTACACGTAGGGAGGATTCCAGTGGTTTAACTCCTCTGAGCAACTAACAGAAAGCCAAAAACCACATGTTTGTGGGGGAGAAGAGGGAAAGGTGGGTGAAGACAGCCATGATATTCAAGTTCCACACGTGAAAATGGAGCCATGTCACTTGAGGGAAAGGATGGGCTAAGAAAGATGAGAGGGGAAAGTCGTGATATTTTGGTCAAGATGTACTCCTAACCTCACATGCCTAAGAGAAACCTCGTCCACCTTCATGTTGAGTACATCTTTACAATTTTTATGATGATCTGTTGACTTGAAACTTGTATCTGTTGTCTAAGGAAATTCCAGATAAAGAGTTCAGCAATAGTTGCTATGATGGCCTGGACCTCTGCAGCCATTTTGCCACCATGAAGACAAAAGGCTGGAGAGGCTGCCCTGGCCTTGCGCTTACCTTCTTTGATAATGTCAATGACGTCATTGGCATTGAAGCTGAGCTCATCCGTATCCTGAGCGTCGTAGGCATACAAAGCCTTGCACTGGGGCACCTGAGGTTTGGGCTTGGGCTGGGGCTTGGGTCTGCCCCCTGCTGGGGTAGGCCGACTGGTCGTCTGTCTCCGAACACTGCAGAGAGAAAACAAAGCAGATGAGACATGGGCCTTAATCCTATAGTGGGTTACAGCCGTGTCCTCATGAAGTTCAAATCTACTTCTGCCCTTCGAAGCCCAGGACGCTCTCAAACATTTTTGTGTCAATCATGGGACTTCAACTCAGCTGAGCATTTTTTGCTCAAGGCCAGTGCTTTACCACTTTGAGCCACAGTGCCACGTCTAGTTTCCTGGTGGTTAATTGTCAAGAGTCAGTGCTGGTGGCTCACACCTGTAATCCTAGCTACTCAGGAGGCTGAGATCTGAGGATCGCAGTTCAAGGCCAGTCCAGGCAGGAAAGTCTGTGAGACTCTGATCTCCAGCTAGCCACCAGAAAACTGGAAGTGGTGCTCAAGTGGTAGAGCACTTGCCTTGAGCTTGAAGAGCTGAGGGACAGCGCCCAGGCCCAGAGTTAAGGCCCCACAACGGACAAAAATAAAGATGGCTTCAAAAAGGGGTTGGGCTGGCAGTTGATGTGGGGCGCCGGTCACAAGTAGAAAGGAATCTTCCTCAGTTCTTTGTTCTGGGACGAACAAGAAACCACAGCTCAGTACTTCTAGAATCCTGTCATGGCCAAATGCTCCTTGGGGGCTGATGGATGAATTGAGATCAAGTGGAAAGTTAGAAGCACTAGCTCCAGCAAAGAGCGGGGGACTCTGCAGCCCAGGCTCTGCCCCCTCCCCCTCAGTCCCCCCAGAAGGGACCAAACCCCAAGTCTTCTCCAGCTCCCATACCTCTGGGGGTAGTACACCCTGTGGATTATGAGGGTGACATCACTTCTGCCCTTCTCAGCCAGACGAGTGCCCGCTGGTATGATTAATCCCCTATATATCAGGAGCAATGTTTGGTGAAGGAGAATTAGCTGGGGCTACCAGAAGTCATGTGACTTCCCAGCTAGAAGGTCTGGGTGGGTGGGTCTGAGAGCAGAGAGGCTTTGGTACTGAAGGTGTCCTGCTGGGAGGGAGAGAGGGCGACACCCAGTGGGCAGACGAGGAAATGCACCTCTGCCATGCAAACCCTGAGTCATGGCCACATTCCCCTGCACTGTCTTCCATCTTCCCCCGCCTCCTCCCAGCTGCACCTGTTCAAGCTCAGCCTCAGACAGTTCACTTTCCACCTGACCATCCTCTTACCAGCATTTCCGAGATCAAAACCACATGTCTCACCAAGTCCCTGTCCAGTATGGCTCCGGCTCCCAGAGACCACACGGTCAACTTCCCCTGCAGCTTCTCCAGCTCCCTCAGACCGAGCTGGAGAAGGAAACCCCTTTTGTTCCAATGCTATGGTAGAAAGTGGCTGGGGCTAGACACAAAGCAAACAAAAGACCTCCAGAGTGAAGAAGGGAGAAAGTGAATACAGGCAGGAAATGCTTCTGCAAAGACACCACTGGTTTAAAAAAAAAAAAAAAGCCCAACAAAAGCTATTAACAAGCCAGTTCTATAAGACAATATACAGATAATAGAACAGCTTGTTTCTATGTACTAGACACGAGAAGTTCAAGAGAAAGATCAGAAAATTCAAAAAAATCAAGAAAACAACCCCTTATGATAAATTCTGGAGCATATACGGTGGCTCACGGCTATAATCCTTAGTAGGAAAAGTCCATGAGATTCATCATCACCCCAAAGCTGGAATTGGAGCCATAGAGGGCCAATCTGGTCACTTCTATCTCTCGGTTCAATGGAGAAGGGAAGAGATGGTTAAGCACTGTGAAGCTGGGCGTGAGGAGAAACCCCAGGAGCTTTAGACAGAGTGGGGTGAGCCGAGGGGGACAGCCACAGACTGGTTTGATGCAGGTGGCCAAGCTCCACCGATTGTACCAGAATTGGGTTCCCATTGACTGCAGAGAGGGACTGCCGGCTTGAAATCTGTTCTCTCTCCTGGGTACCCTGCCTCTCTGAACCAGGCTACGCCTGACACTCTTCTGGGAAGTCCCTGGATAGGGCTGGATGACATGACAGCCACTCTTCAGCTGGGCTGGCTGTGTACCAGTATTTTTTTTTGTGTGTGGGGGGGAGAAGAGTGGGGGCGACTACTGCACTAAACCTTTGCAACTTCTGGGGAAGTGTGTGAGGAAGGTTCCTGGCATTTCCTATGCGTGGATCACTGGCCAACATGCTAAGTTATGCAATCTCCATCACTGCCGCTAGAGGGCGATCCTGTGTAATGAGTGAGCGAAGAACACCGTCAAGTGACCTGTCAAGAATGAATGAATGAGGTCTTTGAGCCCCCAGAAGCACACAGCCCAGGTGGCCCACCTGGCCTGATAAAGGGGGGATTATAGGCTTTGCACAAACACTTGAGACCCTTGTGCCAATGGATGAGAACCCGCTCAGCCCAGCTGGCAAGATGATACTTCAAACTTGCAGCAACTTGTGTCCTAAGATCGGTGGAGGGGGTGAAACTATTCAGAGTTCTAAGCATAGATGTGAACATCACCACGAAACCACCTCAGATTACAGATACCTATTCAAGTATAAAATGTAAAAAGTCATGCAAAGTTGCAATTGAACGAGCACTATTGCACATCAAGGTAATAATAAATATTCATAGTGTGCCTTTAGCTAATTTAAAAAATTGTTTTTTGGCAGCCTCCTGCTCACCCAGTTTACTTGCTCATGGCTGGTGCTTAACCATTTGAGCCACACCCCCACTTGTGGATGCTATGGTGTGTATCTGCCATCCGGGACTACCTTCTAAGACACCCCCCCCCCAAACAACAATTGGCAGTGTACTGCCATAAGTCCTGAATTATGGGCTACCAGAAGGCCTAGAGATTCTTTTCGACGATTGTGAGGTTTTTCAATGGACATTTGAGACCTCTTGGACAGCTATGGAATCTCACAAGATGCCAAAAGCCAGGAAGAAAAATGGACCCTCAGGCGACCCCCTTTGAAAAGAATTCAAATTGCCTGTGACTCATTAGAAATCTGAGTACTTCTTTTTTTTGGGGGGAAGGGGGGTTCTTAATACCAGGGCTTCGACTCCAGGCTATTGGCTCTCATTTAGCTGGCTTACTGATAGCTGGCATTCTACCACTCAAGCCACCATCTCCAGTCTGACATTTTATTGGTTGATTGATAGTGGAGTCTCAGAGACTTTTCTGCCCAGCATCAAACCTTGATCCTTCAAATCTCAGCTGGGATTACAGGCATGAGCCACCAGAACCTGGGTATTATCATTATTCCTGTGATACACATGAATCCACGGAGGGTGGGCGGGAACATTAAAGGGCAAGCTAGAGGCATCCCACAGTAAATACGGGATGAGTAAAACAGAAGGAGACCAACAAACCAGACCCACACCTAGCCCTGGCCAACTTCTGGGCGGTTCCCATGGCTCCTGGGTGGCTATGTGGACTCCAGGCCGGGGAGATCAGAGAGGATGGAGTTTTCAAATATCATTGCTTTGTCCCGCAGTGGGGAAATTTATGTCTTGAAACTCCAAGAGGGAAAATAATGGCATTTTCTTTCCCTGACTTGGAAAAATACACTGGGTTCCAAAAGGCTCCATCTCTAAATGTTACTGGAAATGAGGAGAAATGCATGCCAGCAATTCCAAGACTTTGACTCAGCCCAGACCAGGTTATGGCTGCGTGTTCGTGTAGAAATATTGCTATTGGACACTGGCTGGAAATCTTAAGCCTTCTGAAAATATGACTCCATGAGAAGAATCTTGACACGAGCCATTGGCAGCGTTTACGTTTTGTATCCATTTATGCTTCTGGGCGTGGGGGAGAAATCCGGCCACAGCACGTGGCTCTATCTTTCTCTGGATTTGTTTTGATTGATTGATTTAGTGCCACTTCTGGGGCTTGAATTCAAGGCCTGTGTGCTGTCCCTGAGCTTTTCATTCACTCAATGCTAGCCCTCTCCCACTTGAGCCACAAGCTCCACTTCTGGCTTTTTTGGGTGGTTCTTTGGACAGAAGAGTCTCACAGATTTTCCTGCCCAGGCTGGCTTTGAACTGTGATCCTCCAATCTCAGCCTCCTGAGTTGCTAGGATTATAGAATTATATAGAATTGCCTGAAGCTATCCTACCATGAATGGGACTGACCTGGGTTTTATGGAAAACAAGAAACCTCTAAGAGAATGACCTATAAAAGCAGGATGGATCTTTAATCTGGATCAGACTCTGTGTGTGTGTGCGTGTGTGTGTGTGTGTGTGATGTGTGATGTGTGATGTGTGATTGGAATTTTGAACTCAGGCCCTGATGCCTCTCTTGGTTTGACTGCTCAGTTGGCACTCTACCACCTGAGCCACACCTCAGAGCCTCGCTTTCTGCTGGTTAATTGGAGGTGAGCTTCAAGGACTTTTCTGCCTGGGTTGGCTTTGAACCTTGATACTCCTATGGCAGCCTCCTGAGGAGCTAGGGATTCAAGATGAGCACTGACTTTTATTCTCTGGATCAGCTTCAAACTCCTATGCTCCTATCTCTGTATCTCCCAAGTAGCTGGGATTATAGTCATGCGCCACTGTTCCTGGCCTTGAATTTGACTGACCAAAAGCTTTAGTAAAGGATTAAAAGCCAATACTTCCACCTCCAGTCTCTTAGTGCAGTTTGGAGAGTGGAACTGAACTCATGGCTTATAGAGACCGTGGGCACAAATATCTTAATCCAAGGGTGAAAGGCTGTTGATGGGTGGCGATTAATTTAGCAATGACTTCATGCTCTCTCCAAAAACTACATCAGCTGAACCTCAAATCAACTGATGACTTTCCTGAATTAACTTGAGGCGCTAATTATACCATTTGATTTTTATCCATGTTACATGATCCAAAAAGAAAAACGAGTGCTTCTGCTAAATACATCTATAAAGGAAACTCCTTTGAGAGAAAGGAGAAAGAAAGATTAAGTCTCAGGGTTTAAAAAGCCTAGGAAGTAAAGACTGGGAATGCTTTTTATAGATGTGTACATTCTGCAGGTGACAATTTGAAACTTTGATCTAAATAGGGACCTTCATATTTATGGAAAATAGACAAGCTCAGGATACCCAAAATGCTGGTAGATTCCAAAAACACCCCATGAAGGAAATATAAATCGATTTCCTTGGCAAAAAGGAGAAGCTATTAAATTCAGATCACTACAGGGCTCCTGAAATGCTAGAGCCAAGGTCCCTGGCCACATTTGAAACCTTTTTTTTTCTTTCACCTTTATGTGTTTTAGAAAGTCAATAATTAGCTGGGCGCTAGTGGCTCACGCCTGTAATCCTAACTACTCAGGAGACTGAGATCTGAGGATCCTGGTTCAAAGCCAGCCCAGGCAGGAAAGTCAACAAGACTCTTATTTCCAAGGAATCACCAGAAAAACCAGAAATGGAGCTGTAGCTCAACGTAGTAAAGCCTTGAGTAATCGGGGACAGCTCCCAGGCCCTGAGTTCAAGACCCAAGAAAATAATTAGGAAAAAAAAATCATCCCTTTGGTCCAACTTTCTCCTTTTTTTTTTTTCTTGGCAGTTACTGGGCTTTGAACTTGACGTGCTAGGCAGACACTCTGCCACGTCAACCATGCTCTCAGTCCTTTTTGTGTTACTTATTTTAGGGTCTTCCTTTTTCATTTCTCCCTTTGAGCCAGCCTTGGCCTGCAATCCTCCTCCTCCTTGTGCCTCCCGGGTGTCTGTGATCACAGACGTGCACCCTCCCGCCCGGCTCGTTTGTAGAAATGCGAGGTGTCAGGAACATGGTGCCCACGCTGGCCTCAAACTGCAGTTCTCCCAAGTAGCCAGGATGGCAGGCAGGCGTAACTGTGCGTACCTCAGAGCCTTCTTAAGAAACAGCTGCCCCAGCAAATGTGTGCAGAAGAAGGGAGGGTTCTCACAGCTATTCAAGTACAGACATTCAATGACAACAACGACAGAGAACAGACAGGAAAACTAGTGACTGGGGGATGATTGTACAGGTGCCAACCCCATCTCCATGGCTAAAGGTGACAGCCAGGGAATGGTGTCGGGGGGGGGGGGCTGGAAGAGAACAGTCCTGGATAAGACAGGGTGTTTCTCCACTTGCCTACTTTGGGCTGCCGGCTGCTCCCATCTGGCCCGTGTGCAAGTCTACAAAGCAGGCTGAGAAGCTGGGTTGGCTAGCCAAAACCCAAGCACTCAGGAAGCCAGCAGACAGGGCAGACATCTCCTGCCTTGGCCAGGAATCTCCAATGGAGCCTAGGAGCCAGGCGTGTGACTCCCGGAGTGACCTCTGCCCAGCTGAGCAGTGCCAACGCTCAGGGCCTTGTCCACGGCCTGGCAGGTGCATCTTCATTTGCTGGGCTTCTTCCAAAGGTGCTCAGCATTGGCTAAGATCAGGAAGAGAAAGGGGAATTCTTGGGTATGCCCTGGAGTTAGAGGACTAGGGGCTGAGTGGGAGGCATGGTTCAGTGGGTGGAGCACCAGGGAACAAACAAATTGAGCACGGGTCCACACCATGATTTTCAATCCCTATACCCCTGGGGGTGGGGGGGGGGAGGAAAAGAGAGCAGATAATTTCTTGAGCTGGAGTCACCGTTATTATTATTTCAGGAGAGGGGGGAGAGGAAAGATTGGCTCAAGTGACAGAGTGTCTGCTGCCTAGCCGGTGTGAGGCTTGAGTTCAAAACCCTGAGGATGCAAAAGAGAAAGGACTGAAGACAAAGACGAGGGACCCAACAAGGGTGGCACACACTCTGCTGCTGATGGTCGCTTGTGAGGGGGAAAGGAACAGTGGGAAAGAACATGGCATGGCTCCGCCAGGCCCTGTGGCCTTGAGGACAGAGGAAAACCTGTGATTCCCCCCCCCCCCCCCACCAAGCTGAAAGCTGAAAGCTGTGGTTTCACAGCGGGCCTGGTTTGCATACAAGCTTCCTGCACCTCTACGCTTTGGGACACAGACAGAGGGAGGGGGAAAAAGGGCTGGGGCCAGCATTGCTGGGTTCAACAGACCTGCAACCATGCAGAGCAGAAAGGACTATATATATATATATATATATTTGTGTGTTTGTGTCAGTTGTGGGGCTTGAACTCAGGGCCTGGGCACTGTCCCTGAGCCTCTTTGTGCTCAAGGCTAGCCCATTACCACTCGAGCCACAGCGCCATTTCTGGTTTTTCAGTGATTAATTGGAGCTAAGAGTCTCACAGGGACTTTTCTGCCCTGGCTGGCTTCTAACCACCATCCTCAGATCTCAGCCTCCTGAGTAGCTAGGATTATAGGCGTGAGCCACCTGCGGCCAGCTGGAAGGGTTTATTTTTATTTTTCTTATTTTTGTGGTGCTGGAGATTGAACTCAGGAGCTCAGGCTCCTGATGGATCTTAAGGAAGTTCTTTAAAAGTGTCTAGAGATCAACCACTGGAGATCATATCTCACCACGATTATCATCATCACCATCATCATCACCACCATCATTACCATCACCATCAAGCTACAGCCAATGGAATAGTCTAGACCAAGTACCATTGCCAGGCACTGGTGGCTCACGCCTATAATCCTAGCTACTCAGGAAGCTGAGATCCCAGGTCATGGCTAATCTGCGATTCTACAGGCACCCCCAGTGTAGACAGGCTCCCAGAAGCCTTTGCTTCCTTAGGCTACAAAGCCTGCCTCACCATTCCCAATTTTCTTTTCTAGAAAAGCAGAGGCTCTCCTGTGGAAGCTATGAAGATCTAGATTCTGCACACAGCTGTGTCATGGGAGACTGGGGCATGATTCTTCACGCTGCTGACACTCTTGGAGCTGATGCATCACTACACCTCAGACACAGGTACGAATACCAACACAAAGCAAGCCTAACTTTCTTCCAGCAAAATACTGCTAGTCCCCAATCATGTCACTCAGCAACAAAGGCCCTGGAGTCACTCAATGTCAGGCTCAGAAGACTGCCTCCTTCTGGAATCTCCATGCAAGACCCTCTCTGGACAATGAAATGGGGCGTGTGGTTGGCTGCATCATTACAAATGCCTGGAATCAACAGCCACGTCACCCCTGAACCCGCAATGCTCTGATGAGAGTTGGAGTGTGGTTTTACCTACTTGAGTCTTATCTTACCCAGCAGCACCTTGGTCTGGCACCTTGAGGAAATCCAGGCTCTCCAGCGTCTGGGACACGCGGTCTGAGCCTGTGGACTGCTGCCGGGGCAGAGGTGGGCGGGCCATGGAGGTGTACAGGCTTCTCTGATTGGACCTTTGGTTCCCAGGGGCGTGGGGTTGTGGCACAAATTGGTTTTTGATGATGCCATTTTGGTGAGATCCTGGAGGGCAGAAGGGAGAATACACCTTCAATTCTATGAGGCCAAAATGCCTCGGGCAAGTCATTTAACTTCTCTGTCCCTCGGTTTCTCCATCTGAAAAATGGAAGGGATCACAGCGAATATACCATACCGTAGTGGAGCTGTGGTATTATTTTATTTTTCCCTCCAACTTCCCTGGGGTAAAAGTGAGAAATCAGATTGTATGCACTTCCAAGTTTGAGTACTGGTCTCAGATAACAACAACAACAAACCAAATAACTAACCCTAAGGGTGGGAGGTGTGACTCAGGTGGTAGAGTGCCAGCCAATGAGGAAAACTAGTTAAGATAATTGAGTTTTGGTCCTCATGTTGGAAGGGCGGGGGGGGGGGCAGGGGAGAATGTTTACACCTAAGGGGTAAGTGCATAGAACTGACGATGATGACGATGATGATGATGATGATGATGATGATGATGATGATGATGGTGGTGGTGGTGGTGGTGGTGGTGGTAGGGCTAATCACACATCATAAATTTCCTAGGACGTGTCTCAAGGCATGGTTAAATTTGACAATAGGATCCTCCAATGTCTGGGTTTCAAAGCCCACAGTCAAGGAAAGAGATCTTGGGGCTAGCTGGGCATATGCTTCCTATCTGGGGCTTGGCCTCAAATGGGCAGGCAGGGGCTTGAACTCAGGAACTGAGCACTGTCCCTGAGCTTTTCTGCTCAAGGCTGGTGCTCTACCACTGTGAGGCACAGCACCACTTCTGGTTTTCTGCTGGGTCCTTGGAGGTAAGAGTCTCACTGACTCAAGCTGCTCAGATCTCAGCCTCCTGAGCAGCTTGGATTACAGGCGTGAGCCACCGGAGCCTGGTTGTGTACTTTCATTTTCACGGAGTGGGTCTCGATGCCTTTGGCAGCAACTTGGCTCTGTTGGAATGTAGAGGTCACTTCCACGCTGAAACGTGGCTACCAGGTTGGGTCAAGCCAGACGAAGCATCTTTTTTTGTGATTTTTAAAGTTGAGATCACAGAGCTCCAAAGCTGCTAAGTGATGGTGAGATTATGAGTTGGGGATCTTAGTCCTACTTTGAAGGACAGTTTTCTCAGCCTTCAAAAGTTTCTTTCTTTCACTCCTCTCTCTCCTCTCTTCCTCTTCCCCTTCCTCCCTCCCTCCCGACTCTCTCCCCCCTGCTTCTACCCAGTGACCCTGAGGCCTGATCAGAACTAAATCCTTGTATTTGCCAGGCCTGGGGCTTGAACTCAGGGCCTGGGCACTGTCCCTGAGCTTCTTTGGCTCAAGGCTAACACTCTACCACTTGAGCCACAGCGCCACTTCTGGCTTTTTTCTGTTTATGTGGTACTGAGGAATCGAACCCAGGGCTTCATGTGTGCTAGGCAAGCATTCTACCCCTGAGCCACCTTCCCAGACCAAGAGCTAAATACTTGAAGCAAATGTCTGTTATACAGCAAGTGAGATCTGGAAGGCGGGGAGGTGGGGGGGGTGGAGGGAAGTTTTCCTGTCAGAATGAAAGGCTTAAAGTGGGGTTCAGGGACAGGCCATACCATGTATGTGCTGTTGGAGACTCAGTCACCTAAATGAGTTCAGAAATGAAAAACAAAATGAGCTTGTAGAAATGCTCATGGCAGCTAGACAGATATATTTTATGCCTCTTGACTCTAACAATAAAAATTTTGGCTTGTGTTTTGTGTGCTTTTACAATTTCATTGTTCTGTGAACTTTTTTTTGTTATTATTGTATGTTTGCAAACGTGTGGTTTGGCATGACCTAGGATTTTTTTTTTAACCAAAGAGATTAAAAATCCTGGTTTTTCTTTTTTTTTTTGCATAGTTCAAAAAGGGCTGATTTGATAGATTGGGGGAGTTGTTCCTGGGGCTTGGGAAGAAATGGTCATTTGCGGAGATTTGGGACCATGATCAAGGTCAGATGTACTGTGGCCTAATTTGGCCTGAGATTACTTGGGCCAAAGTAGCTGAAAGCAAGGAATGTTCCATCCAGGTGGTCCTGGCCAGTACTGACAAGTAACATAACACAAACCCTGCTTCTTCTGGCTTCTACCATCTTTCCATTTTTCTCGTGGATAAAGGCAAAGGGAAGAAGCCATGTACTGGTGGCTCACCCCAAGCTAAATAATCCTAACTACTCAGAAGGCCAAGATCAGGAGAATCAAGGTCTAAAGCCATCCCTGGCAGAAAAAGCTGCTGAGACTTCATGAATGATTAATCAGCAAAAATCCAGGCTGGAGGCATGACTCAAGTGGTAGAGCACCAGGTGAGCAGTGCTGGCAGAAGAGAGAGAGAGGAAGGAAGGAAGGAAGGAAGGAAGGAAGGAAGGAAGGAAGGAAGGAAGGAAGGAAGGTAAAGGGATCGAGAAAGAGATGGGGAGAGAGGGGGGAGAGAGGGGGGAGGGAGGAAAGAGAGGGGATGAAGGAAAAGAGAAAAACGAAAATTATTAAACTAAAGCAAAATGGATTGTGTGTCTCATTTGCCTAGCAAATGCAACGCCCTGAAATAAGGGCCAAAAAATGCTTTTGTAGCAATTTCCTAATTCTCACAGGTATAGTTTTGTTTGGGGAAGTCTCCTGGACCTTATTTGTCTAGGAGTAGGTGTCTTTATATACTCATTTCTGAACTGATTACCTAGCTGTGAATCACCATGGTGGTGTTGGTTACATGCCAGCATCCTGCATCTTAAAAAGGGCTCACAGCCTCTGGCCTAGTAAACAGAGGCCCCAAAGGAGTTGCCTGCAGTATAATGACTCATGGTGGACTGACAATGTGATTGGCTGACCTGGGACTGATTGACATGTGTGCCCGTATTGGCTACTGCATTCCTTCCCAGACATATTTCAGAAGCTGTGGGTGGAGACGCAGTAATCCCAGGCTTACCCGGGGGAGGAGGCGCAGCCCTCATTGGGTAGTTGGCGGTCTGAGTCCGGCCAGGACGCCCTCGGCACTGGATGGTGTTCCTTCTGGTAGGACCTGAAATAAACAAGACCAAGCTAGCATTAGGATAGCAGCTGGATTTGATGGGTTCCTCAAGTGCCAATATCAACTTATGCACGCACCCACTAAAGAAATGAAGAAATTAATAAGTAACTAAAAGCTTATTTTAAAAAAATAGGAAGAAGCCGGGTGCCAGTGGCTCACATCTGTAATCCTAGCTATTCAGGAGGCTGAGATCTGAGGATCACGGTTCAAAGCCAGCCTGGAGAGGTTAATCTCCAATTAACCACCAGGAAACTGGAAGTGGTGCTGTGGCTTAAGGGGTAGAGTGCTCGCCTTGAGTTGAAGAGCCAAGGGACAGTGCCCAGGCCCAGAGTTCAAGCCCCATGACTGACAAAAAACAAAAAAATAGGAAGAGAGGCTTGGAAATGTGGCTTAGGGGCAGAGTGCTTGCCTAACCTGCAGAATGCCTTGGGTTCGATGCTTCAGTACCACATAAACAAAAGATAAATAACATTTAAAAAATGAAAAAAAAGAAATAAAAACAAACAGAAAAAGCCCTGGAATTTGACCTTGTGTATGTCTTTATTTCTTTCTTTCTTATTGGCCAATCCTGGGCTTGAACTCAGGGCCTGGGCACTGTCCCTGAGCTGCTTTGGCTCAAGACTAGCACTCTACCACTTGAGCCACAGCTCCACTTCTGGATTTTTCTGTGTACTCATGTGTCCCATCATCCCCTCCGCCTCCCTCCACCCCCACCCCGTCCTAAGGCTTGAACTCAGGGCCTGGGCACTATGAACTTTTGTGCTCAAAGCTAGTGCTCTATCATTTGAGATATAGCTCACTTTTGGCTTTTTGGTGGTTAATTAGAGATAAGAGTCTCATGGACTTTCCCACCTGGACTGGCTTTGAACCATGATCCTCAAATCTCAGCCTCCTGAATAACTGGGATTACAGGCATGTGGCACCAGTGCCTGGCTCTGTCCATTTCCTTTGATACTGTGTTAGTGTGAAATTTCCCACACACGGTGGGCCACGCGTTCCTCATTCCTGGTGCCCGCTTGGGCAGTGGGTCTGAGCACGCGGGGGCAGTGGTTCCCATAGAATACTTACGGGAGTTTTTGGGCAGCCCAGGTCCGATGCTGACCTGCAGCACTTTGTTACTGGGCTTCAGGATGGCCAGGTCGCCGAAGCCTTGGTGGAATTGCACTTGCCGGGAGCCCCCCGCACTCCAGGGACCCCAGTTCTCCTTTTTCAACTTTAATTCAAGCCTGCAACAAGCACGTGGATTGAAATTAAGTTCGAAAAGAAGGAAACAGTTCAGAGAGCTCTGCTACAAGTACACACTAAAAGGGATCCAGACCAGACAATCTAAGCCTATATGGTAGTGCATGCCTGTAACCCCAGCAACTTGGGAGGTGGACATAGGAAGGATCACGGTTCAAATACAACATGTACAAAAATGAAAACAAAGCTGGGTGCTGGTGGCTCACGCCTGTAATCCTAGCTACTCAGGAGGCTGAGATTTGACAATCAGGGTTCAAAGCCAGCCCAGGCTTTAGTCTTTAATTAACCACTAGAAAACTGGAAATGGTGTTGTGGCTCAAGTGGTAGAGCAATCGCCCTGAGCTGAAGAGCTGGGGGACAGCGCCCAGGCCCAGAGTTCAAGCCCCATAACCGACAAAATAAAAGGGGAGGGTGGAGTGTACCTCAGTGATACAACTCCTGGCCTTACAAGTACAAAGCCAAGAGTTCAAACCCTATTACTGCCCCAAACAAATAGCCAGCCCCCTGAATCCCACTTTTCCCTGTTTTACTTGGGTGGCTTTGTATAAATGAGAAAATACATCACCTCGCAGAAATGTAAATGTGACCAACAACCTGGGCAGTCTTCAGAAGGCTCTTAAGATCCCACTGGGGAAACTGAGGCACCACGGTAGGGTTTGTAAAAGTCGTGAAAGCCAGTGAGACCTATTCCTTCCCACCCACCTCCCCTCCTCTCAGACTGTACCCCGGGGCAGGATCCCAAAGCCCCTCTCGATTTTACTGACAAGTTTGGGACCCCGACTTACGTATTGCTGAATTTGAGAGGTAGCTGCTTCTGAGTCTTCTCCTCATAACGCTTTGCTAAGAGGCTTAAGAATTCAGTTTTGAAGACAGATTCAAGCAAACTGTCGTATTCTTGCTCATGGAGAATAAAAATGTCATCTTGCATGGTGCTGTGGAGAGAGGAGACAAACTTAATTATTCCGTCATCCTCACAATGTCACCATTATTTGGTGCTGGGCATTGAACCCGGGACCTCATGCATGCCAGGAACATATTCTAAATGCTATCCAGGCACAGCATGGCATATGGTGGTGGCTGGTTTTACTCCTACACTGCGGGACTAGCTTGCCTTTCTGTGGCTTTTCTGTCCTTTCTTTCTCCCTCCTTGGGAGTTTTTTTCTTTCTCCTTTCCCTTCTATTTTTCAAAATCTTTCAAAACCAAATGCACACCAATGAACTGCACAATAAATTCGATGGAATAGTTTTCAAAGGAAAGCCATCGGCCCACCCACAGCAGAATCAAAATCCTTCTTCAACAAGATTTCTCAAATCAAGAACTGAAGGCAAGCCGGGCACTGGTGGCTCACGCCTATAATCCTAGCTACTCAAGAGGCTGAGATCTGAGGATCGCGGTTCAAAGCCAGCCCGGGCAGGAAAGACCGTGAGACTCCTATCTCCAATAAACCACCAGAAAACTGGAAGTGGCGCTGTAGCTCAAGTGGTAGAGCGCTCGGCTTGAGCTGAAGAGCTGAGGGACAGCGCCCAGGCCCAGAGTTCAAGCCCCACGACAAAAAAAAAAAAAAAAAGAACTGAAGGCAGAGGTGGTAGGTGGTAGTGCACGCCTGTAACCCCAGCAGCTTGGGAGGTGGAAATAGGAAGGATCACAGTTCAAATACAACATGTACAAAAATAAATAAATAAATAAATAAAAACCGGGTGCTGGCGGCTCACGCCTGTAATCCTAGCTACTCAGGAGGCTGAGAGCTGAGGACTGTGGTTCAAAGTCAGATTTTGATACTGTTGAGACTCTCATCTCCAATGAACCATCAAAAAGCTAGAAGTGGCACTGTGGCTCAAGTGGTAGAGCATTAACCTCGAGTGGAAAAAGCTCAGGGATAGAGCCCAGGCCCTGACTTCAAAACCTAGGATCTGCTTTAAAAAATAATAAAAAAATAAAATAAACATTAAAAAGATATAAGAGCCACAGCACCACTTCTGGCTTTTTCTGTGTATGTAGTACTAAGGAATTGAACCCAGGGCTTCATGCATGCTAGGCCAGCAACTCTACCACTAAGCCACATTCCCAGCCCTTTTTGATCTGTTCTTTAGCCATCTTCTCCTGACTGGTCAGGCCTCATATGAGATAAGGCATCTCGTTTGGGGGGGGAGGGTGGTCTACCCATTCACCAAATTCCCAAGAGGTAAATGGTCTTCGCCTTTTCTCCTTGCTACGCTCTCTACTTCTTGCTCTACCATCTTGTGTCCTTTCCTTCAATATTTTTGTCAGATTGAGATGATGAACCCTTGGCCCAAACTTCCAGGTCAACCATCAATTTCCAAACTCCGCCCTTCAGTGACCCAGACATGCAATTTGATGAAGCCAATCATCAGCCAAGCCGGGGTTCCAGCTTAACCCTGTATGTACCCTCAGCCCTAAAGTTCTGGAACTGGATAGATTCAAAACTTGTAGATTTATTTATTCTACAGGGAAAAAAAAAATCAGACTTATCTTTGGCCTCCACCTCTGTCGAATTCATAGGCCCAAACTACAATCCCTCCCAGATGTCTGACAATGTCCTTTGTGTTGAAAAATTCTTTCCCTGGCCTCTGGTTTGGCTTGGAACTTGGACTTGATTCAGTGTCTTTGTGGTTTGTTGTGGTATGGCCGACCACACTAGAAAAATCTCCTTTTACTCCTGTCACCAAGAATAGATCAGCTTCACAAAAGCATTTGTTACAAAACACTGGGTACATTCTGGGGGCAGGGGGTGGGGGGGGGAAGGGAGGGGGAGGAAAGGAAGCTGAAAGACAATGTGGAAATAGAACTCTGACTTTCTTGAATCTTCATAGAAAAAATAAAAAATTCCAGGACTGGGAAGGTGGCTCAGTGGTAGAGCACTTGCCTTGCATGCATGAGGCCCTGAGTTCGATTCCTAGTACCACATAAGCAAAAAGAAAACAGCCGGAAGTGGCGCTGTGGCTCAAGTGGTTGAGCACTAGCCTTGAGCTGAAGAGCTGAGGGACAGCGCCCAGGCCCAGAGTTCAGGCCCCACGACTGGACCGAAAAAAAAAAAAAATTCCCCGCTGGGCACAGGTGGCCCATTGTATGTAATCCTAGCTACTTGGGATGCTGGGATCTGAGGATGATGGTTCAAAGCCAGCCTGGGCAAAAAGTCCAGGAGACTCTTCCTTCCATTAAACTACCCCAAAATAGCCAGAAATGGTGCTGTGGCTCAAGTGGTAGAGTGCTAGCCCTGCACAAAAGCAGCTCAGGAACAGTGCCCAGGCTCCGAGTTCAAGCCCCAATGACCAGCACAAAACAGAACAGAACAAATCAGTAGTCCAGAAGGAGCAACGAGCCATATTCCAGAAGGTTCTGTGAATTCTCTATATGCTCTCTCCCCTCCTCACGCTCCTCAACACCATACCATCACTGGGTTCTTTTTAAAGTGATGTATAAATATTAGATCATTTAATGCTTCAATATTTCAGGGGGTACCATTAAAACGCGGTCTCTGGATGTGTACAAAAATAACCACAATGCCATTATCATATCCATACAAGCGACCGATAAATGCTCCCTTTCAAATAGTTAGCACATGTACGCCTTGCTGGCTAATTGCTTGTGGATGCTTCCGTCATGAGAATCAGGAGCTGGGGGGCCACTGGGCACCCACAAATCTTGGGCTGTAGGAGAGAGGGGAGCTCAAGGACGAGGTTTGATGGCTTTGTACTAGAAGATTCGATGAGGTAAAGGCAACCCAGCCAATCAGCTACTGGGAAGGCTGGTTCATTCTTGGCAACCCATGCAGATGTTGCTGTTTCCTTTCCCGAGGACGAGGCAACTGAGAAAAACCTGTCTGGGTGGTAGGAGTTGGTAGTGTGCAAGACACAATCACACCTCCCTCGTGCCGCGCCCACACTCAGTTGTCAGTGGCCACGATTCATTTCTACGACAGGCTCCATTTTGCACACATCACCACCCTTTTGGTTTCTTTCCTAAGCGCATTCTTTGGCAGGAGGCAATCGTGGGGTGTAAATGGCCTGATGCTTATGAGGCAGGTGCTCAACCACTTGAGCCAGGCCTCCAGCCCTTTGTGATTTAGGCTACTGTTTCCCACATAGGATTTTGTGCTTTTTTTTTTGGCCAGGACTGCAATCTTCCTGCCAGTGCTTCATGGGAGAATTGGGGATTCGTGTTCTAACTCCTGCCCAGTTGTTCATTGAAATGGGGTCTTGTTAACTTTTTCACCTGGCCAGCCTTGAACCATGATCCTCCAGATCTCTGCTTCCTAAGTAGCTACGATTACAGGCATGAGCCACCGTGTTCAGACCCTTTATTTGGCTTCTGATACTTGGCCTAACCTGACGTTTGAAGGAAAGGAAGAAATAATAGTTTGTGTTAATATGCAGCATACACAACTACCATATGCAAAGATTACACGTGGGCTTTTTTGTTGTTGTTTTTGAGGGGGTATGTGTGTGTTGGTACTAGGGCTTGGAATTAAGGCCTAGGCAATGTCCCTTTGCTTTCTCACTCAAGGCTGGTACGCTACCATTTCAACCATACCTCCAGTTCCAGCTTTTTGGTGTTTAATTGGAGAGAAGAGTCTCACAGACTTTCCTACCCAGGCTGGCTTTGAACTGCAATCCTCAGATCTCAGCCTCCTGAGTAGCTAGGATGACAGGCGTGAGCCACTGGTACCTAGCTCTGAGTTGACATGTTGGAAATAATTCAAGCATTTCAGACACTGCCTGGTTCTTTATGTAGGAAACCTTAGGAACAGATAGCAATCAGACGCCATGGAAACACAGGCAAGAATGGACGTGCTGAAATCTGTTATTCTTTATACATCAATCAGAGCAGGAATTCCAGCCTGGTGAGTCTGAAACCTGAGCACTGGAAATCCCCACTTTCTCTAGAGCCTAGAAACTTAGATTTTATTTTTGGTCAGTCATGCGGCTTGAACTCAGGGCCTGGGTGCTGTCCCTGAGCGATTCTGCTCAAGGCTAGCACTCTACCACATTGACCCATAGCTCTACTTCCAGTTTTCTGGTGGTTAACTGGAGATAAGAGTCTCAGGGACTTTCCTAACTGGGGCTGGCTTTGAACCATGATCCTCAGATCTCAGGCTCCTGAGTAACTAGGATGACAGGCGTGAGCCACTAGCACCTGGCTGGAGCTTTTAGGTTTTGTGAAGAAGAGTTGAAAGCCATCCTGATTCCAAGCTGACATGTTCATCAGAGATCAGAACATCACTGGGTCCTGGGATTTGAACTTGGAGCTTTGTACTTGCTAACTAGATGCTCTACTACTTGGGTCAGACCTCCAGTAGTGTGGGGGATAGGGTCTGGCTCTTTTTGCCCAAGACAACCTATATACCATGATCCTCTTTTACCTCACACTTGCCATTAGAGATGGGACGACAGGTGTGTATTACTATGCTGGGCTTTTCCCAGTAAGATGGGATTTCTTCTCACTAGAGGAAATGAGATCTTAAAAACTTCCCCTCCTGGACACCACTGCCTGCCTTTGCTGGTAAGCAGTTAAGTCTCTGAGACTGGACACAAGGCTCAGAATCCTTTGCTTCCACTTCAGTAAGAGCGAGATCCTCTGACCCGGTTTGTACAAGCCCATTTCTAAGATGTTCAGGAGACACTGGGCCTTGGAGGAGCCCACCAGATGGAAGCTGATTTTCTTTTTGGTCAGAGGAGGTAGTCCTGGGATTTGAACTCAGGGCCTTGCACTTGTGAGGGAAGCACACGAGCCACGCCCCTGGCTGTTTTTGCGTTATTTATTTAGGGTCTCACGCTTTTGCCCAAACTGCCATTGAATCATGTGATCTTCCTACTGACATCTCCCAGTAGCTGGGATTACAAGCATGAGCCACCACACCAAGCCACGACTTGTTCTGGGTATCTTATTCTGGTTCTCATGGCGGGGAAACCCCCCAGGAATTATGACATCATCATTCTTTGAGGAGAAGGGAAATTCCATCCTCTTCCATCATGATTTTGCCAAGTGGAGGGGCGGGGTGAGGGGGAAATGCACTGCGTTCGGAACAGTAATGCTGAGAGCATCCAGCTCTACCACCGTCCCTGCTCACCTGAGGGACACCGACAGGATTCGCTCCATCTCGATCTTCCGCTTCAGGACCTCCTTCACAAGGCCTTTATCTGGGCCTTGCTTGACCTTTTCTCGTCCAATCAAGTACATGCACTTGGGGGTGAGGAGCAGGTCTCGCTTGACACTCTAGAATGAAAGGAATTTTAAGACGGTAGCTCAGCCGGGGAACCAGTGGCTCATGCCTGTCACCCTAGCTACTCAGGAGGCTGAGATCTGAGGATCACGGTTCAATCTGGGCAGGAAAGTCTGTGAGACTCTTGTCTCCAATTAGCCACTCAAAAACCGGAAGTGACGATGTGGCTCAAAGTGGTAGAGTGCTAGCTTTGAGCAAAAAAATCTTAGGGACAGTGCTCAGGCCCAGAGTTCAAGCCCTATGACCGACATTAAAAAAATAAATAAATAAAAGCAAATGCCTACGGCAGAATATTTCTTATTAAATTAATATCTATTCCATTTTTTTTCTGATCCAAAAAAAGGACAATGAAAGATATCAAATAAGACCTGGTTAATGAGAAGTTGTTTTAAAGAATAATAAAGCATTCACTGAATGGAATACTGTGTGGGTATACTAAACAGCTTACAGTGATATATCCTACAAAATTAAGAAGAGGGAGGGAGAGAGGGAAGGATGGGTGAGATTGTTGAAAAGGATGGCAATTATTAAGACCTGTGTAATCATAAACTACTTATTGCTGGGTGCTGGTGGCTCACGCCTGTAATCCTAGCTACTCAGGTGGCTGAGATCTGAGGGTTGTGGTTCAAAGCCAGCCCAGGCAGGAAAGTCCGTGAGACTCTTATCTCCAATAAACCACCAGAAAACTGGAAGTGGCGCTGTGGCTCAAGTAGTATAGAGTGCTTGTCTTGAGCTGAAGAGCTGAGGGACAGCACCCAAGCCCAGAGTTCAAGCCCCACGACCGACAAAAAACAAAAACCAAACTATTTTGTTGAATAGCAAAGTCCTTTGAAACAAATCCAGGACATACAAGAATGTGATGTGGAACCTGCTTTTTGTAAAACTAAGTTTGCAAACATGAATGCACGAGAAAAAAAGATCTGAAGGATAAACACAACATGTTCACCGTTGATTCTGTTTGCTTTTCCTTTGGCTTACCTGGGGTTTGTTTTTTTAAAATCGAATGAACATGATCTGCTTTGACAATCAGAACAATAAACCCACAAGTTATTGAGTTTTTGTTGTAAAGTTTGGATGACGCTGTTGTGTTTTCAGGTTATGTACAAACATGAAGGGGTTTTATTGTGTTATTTCTGCAGTTCTAGGGTTTGAATTCAGGAGCCTGCGCTTCTAGACAGGTGTTCCATCACTTGTTTGACATTTTCTTTTTGGTCCGGTTGTGGGGCCTGAATTCTGGGCCTGGGCGCTGTCCCACAGCTCTTCAGCTCAAGGCTAGCGCTCTACCACTTGAGCCACTTCCGGCTTTTTTTCTTTTTGCTTATGTGGTGCTGAGGAATCGAACCCAGGGCCTCAGGCATGCAAGGCAAGCGCTCTACCACTGAGCCACCTTCCCAGCCCCTGACATTTTCTTTTCTGAACAGTGTCTTGCATTTTTGTCTTCCTATCTTCTCCTTTGTGGCTAGGATGACAAGCATCTTGAATTCAGGGCCTAGGCCCTGTCCCTCAACATTTTCCTTGAGGCTAATGATCAAACACTGATGCACAGGAGATAAGAGTCACCTGAGGGCCGACTTTGAACTGTGGTCCTCAGATCTCAGCTTTCTGGGTAGTTAGGATTTCAGGCATGAGCCACACAGCTCAGAGCCAGTTTGCTCACAGAACTGGGACCTGCAAATAAATATTCTGTCTGGACTGGCCTTACACTTTGATCTTGCCCATCTCTGCCTCCAGAGTAGCTGGGATTACAGGCATGAGTCACCATACTCAGCAAGTTATGTATGGCGTTGGTGAGGCTCAGAGCAAGTGGCCAGAACATACCTTGAACCGCCTGTCATACTTGGTGACCGTGTCAGCAAAGTCGATCTTCTCTCGCTTGCCCACAAACTGCTGGAGCTCTGGGTGTTCCTCCATTCCAATGTAGTCCCCGATGAAGTTCCGGTTAATGCTGTTTCTCCTCCTCTCCTTCTTATTCAACAATAGGTCTGAGGCTGCAGTTCCCAGAATAGGCAAGGGCAGAGGAAAGAAAATACACAAAGAAACACCAAATGATGTGTGCTATTTAGCACATGAATTTATATGTGTGTGTGTGCACGCATGTATGCACACATGCACACACCATTCTTATGGCTTGAACTCAGGGGCTGTCCCTGAGCTTTTGTGCTCAAGGCTAGGACTTTACCATTTGAGACACAACTCCACTTCCAGATTTGTTTTGTTTGTTTTTTGCTGGTTCATTGGAGGTAAAGAGTCTCACAGTCAAAGCCAGCCCTGGCAGGAAAGTCCGTGAGACTCTTATTGCCAATAAAACCGGAAGTGGCGCTGTGGCTCAAGTGGTAGAGCGCCAACCTTGAGCTGAAGAGCTGAGGGACAGCGCCCAGGCCCAGAGTTCAAGCCCCACGACTGACCAAAAAAAAAAGTCTCACAGACTTTCCTGCCTGGGTTGGCTTTGAACCGGCATCCTGCAGATCTCGGCCTCCTCAATAGTTAGGATTATAGGCAGGAGCCACCAGCACCTTGCAGGAGCATATGACTTAACACGTCCAATGAAATGGGTGCTGCAGCAACCTAATCATAAGATGCATTAACCGAGTAAAACGAAATGACTGACATTACCTTCTTCCCTCATTTGGACATATTTCTTCCGGGCCACGAATTTTCTCCAGGATTTCTGTATTACCCGGGCATACCCATCATACTTTCTCTCTCTCATCTCTTCTAGAAGAAATAACTGTGAAGACAGAGAAAAGAGGCGTGAGCCAGTGTACCGGACTTAGCATCAGCACTGGGCATTGTGGTTATGTCAAGGACATGAATGAAAAGCAGCTTGATAGACCCATGAAACAGACTCATAAAACCCGATTACGATGGCATATTATTTATGATCATTTCAAAATCGACTCCCCATGCTTTCCCCGCCAGTCTCATTCTGCAGTGTAGCCTGCGATGACAGGAAATGTGCCACTATGCCCTGGTCTGGGTTGAAAGGGGTGTGTGTAGGGAGGGGGTATGGAATCTCTCGAACCTTCCTACCCAAGCCTCCCGATTCTCCTTATCTCAGCCTCCTTAGTAACTAGGATTAGACCCACGAGTATCTGACTCCATACATATTTTTTTTCTCTTAACGAAAAGTAAGGGTATATGATTGCATCTGAGTGTGTTGTAATAGTCCCTGGCCAGGTGCTGGTGGCTCCTTCTTATAATCCTAGCTACTCAGGACACTGAGATCTGAGGATCGTGGCTCAAAGCCAGCCTGGGCAGGAAAGTGTCTGAGACTCTTACCTCAATGAGCCACCAAAGAAGCCAGAAGGGACGCTATGGCTCAAACGGTAGACCCACACGAGTCATGAACAAAAAAGCTTAGGGACAGTGCCCAGGCCCTGAGTTCAAATCCCAGGACCAGCATTAAAAAAACAACACACAAAAACTCAGTGGGTATTGGATATAAATTCCCAAAGTTCAAGTGAATTGGGACCTCCTCCCCCCGCAAAAAAAACCAAAAACCAAAAAACAAGCAAAAAAAAAAATCCCCCCAAACCTTAAGAAAACTATGGAGGCCATCTTAATTTATACATGGGAAATTAGCAAGTCGAAAAGGAAAAGCATCAAGAAATATGCCAGCGTGCCGACACATCACTGTCCCAGTTTAGAAAGAACAGGAACTTTTCTGTGGGTTGCTTAATGGCGTATGACACAACATTTTCATTTTATATTTGGAAATGAAATGGCTGTGGAGCTACAAATAACTCAAGAGTGGAGAGGAAGAAAAAAAAATAAAAAAGATGCTACCACCAACTTTTCCTAAATGGGTTCTAGCGATGTGGGCTGCCTATTTATTTAATAATCTTTATGGGCAGCCATTCAGTTAGAGCCTCAGACCCATTCCAATCAAACAATAATAAGGGAGGAAGACCAGATGGGTAGGAGACCCAGGGTTGCCTCTTTTGCTTCAATATCCTAAGTCCTTACATTGTTCTCTCTCTTGGTCCAATGACTAATTTTGCCAACGTCTGACTTTGAAATAGGAAGCTCAAGAAATAATGGCTACTGAACGCCAGTCCAGCATCTCCCCAGTTTAGAGAGGAGGGAACAGCATCACTAAGGGACTTCATCTTCCTCCTGCTCAGATGCATGACTTCCCCTGGGCAGCACCACAACCAGAGATGCCCCCGTCCCCCACCTTGTCTTGGCAAAGATCAACAAGGGAGCTGATCCTGCAGAGCCCAGAATCCCAGCTACTCAAGAGGCTGAGATGTGAGGATCGTAGTTCGAAGCCTGCCCGGGCAGGAAAAGTCCAGGAGACTCTTATCTCCAACGAACCACCAGAAAAATCAATAAAGCTGGAAGTGGTTCAAAGTGGTAGAGTGCTAGCCTTGAGCACAAAAGCTCAGGGACAGTGCCCAGGCCCTGAGTTCAAGCCCAGAGTTGAAGCCCAGCCAGCGAGGAAACCAGGGCGGTAGGTATGTTGCACTCACAGACTCCGGGGCTTTGATGAACACCTTGCTCTTCCCCAGCTGAAACTGGTCGCTGTCCATGTTGACTGAATGCAGCAGGTGGAGCACGCCCTGCTTCTCGTCTCCTCGCCACGTGGGCCAGGTGGCTTTGGTCAAGATGGCGTACCTAACAGGACGAAGCATACACAAGCTGATCTCTCAGTCCCCAAAGACATACTTGACCCTTTACACCAGCAGCCCGACATAAGCAAACTAGAGGGACTGTGATCAGAGGATTGTGGTTCAAAGGAAAGTCTTTGAAGACGCTGATCTCCAATTAACCACCAAAACACCAAGAATGGAGGCCACAGCTCAAGTGGTAGAATGCTAGCCTGGAGCAAAAAAGGTAAGGCCCAGTGCCCGGGCCCTGAGTTCAAGCTCCAATCTAGGCACAAAATTAAAGTGGTTGAATTATAAACTGTAAAATAGCCAGGAACTGGTAGCTCACGCCTGTAATCCTAGCTACTCGGGAGGCTGAGATCTGAGAATCAAGGTTCAAAGCCAGCCCAGGCAGGAAAGGCCGTGAGACTCTTATCTCCAATTAACCACCAGAAAAACAGAGGTGGCGCTGTGGCTCAAGTGGTAGAGTGCTAGCCTTGAGCAAAAGAGTTCAGAGATGGCACCAAGTTCCCGAGTTCAAGCCCCACAACCAACAAAAAAGAATAAATGGAAATAAACTGAAATATGTGACCTATATGAAACATGATTATCTCACTAAGCCTGTGTATATTTATTTATCTCACTGGGTCATTACCTCTGCAGGAATTTCTGGAAGATACGCCGATAGGCATAGCCAGCTCTTCTCACGCGGATATTTTCTTTCAGACCCAAATATTCTACTTGATGTTTTACCCTAGAGGGAAGAAATGGATCCTGAGTATTGCTGGACAACCATTTCACATTGCTTTCTTACCAATGTTGTTCCCTAACTCCAATGCCAAGCTGGAAAGAAATGCATTTTAAAAAAAAAAAAAAGGGGGCTGGGAAGGTGGCTCAGTGGTAGAGCGCTTGCCTTGCATGCATGAAGCCCTGGGTTCGATTCCTCAGCACCAAATAAGCAAAAAAAAAAAAAAGAAAAAAGCCGGAAGTGGCGCTGTGGCTCAAGTGGTAGAGCTCTAGCCTTGAGCTGAAGAGCTGAGGGACAGCGCCCAGGCCCAGAGTTCAGGCCCCACGACTGGACCCCCCCCAAAAATAAAATAAATAAATAAAAAACAAAAACTACCGTATTTTACATCATAACAAAGTAAGTAACATTAACTCTAAGCTAAATAACATTAATTTCCATAACACTAGGAGTTACTACAATGATCTAAGACAACCTCACATCTATGTCAAAGAATAGTAGATCAAAACCCAAAGCCAGGCATGGTAGCATACACCCATAGTCCCAGCTATTCGGGAGGCTCAGGCAGGAGGAGGATCTCTTGAGCCTAGGAGTTTTGTGCCAGCCCGGACAACACAATCAGATTCTCCCATCTCAAAACAATCAAATAAAAATAAAACTACAGCCGGGCGCTGGTGGCTCACGCCTGTAATCCTAGCTACTCAGGAGGCTGAGATCTGAGGATCGTGGTTCAAAGCCAGCCCGGGCAGGAGAGACCGTGAGACTCCTATCTCCAATAAACCACCAGAAAACCGGAAGTGGTGCTGTAGTTCAAGTGGTAGAGCGCTAGCCTTGAGCTGAAGAGCTGAGGGACAGCGCCCAGGCCCAGAGTTCAAGCCCCACGACCGACAAAAAAAATAAATAAAATTACATATACCTATTATTGAAATAATGAAGAAAAACAAGTTTTTTTTCCCCAAATGTTAAATCCAACAGTGCTGAATTGAGTTCAACTGAACTTAAATTTAATATTGATTCCCCCAAATGTCACAAAACTCTACCCCTCTAGGACTTATTTCTAAAGTGAGTGAACACAGGTATACAAGGCAATTCATTTCAAATGGTTGAGTTTATAGTCATGGGCTCAAATATGTCTAAGTGAGTGTTCAAGTTGTTTTCTCTCACACATCCTCTGGAAGGGAGGTATTAGGGAACCCAAGAAAGATCTCGGGGTTGCTGGGCTTCTGGGATCAGCCAGCGCTCGACCTGTGTATTGATTTCTCCTGTAAGTGAGGCGAGCAGTTTGAGTCCTTTTCTGAACCTTTCCTGGATAGCACTGACTCTCTGTGGATCCTGTGCTGCTGGGTATTCCTGTAATCCAGTCCCGGGAGAAGAGAACTGCCCACACAGAGTGCTGTGGCTTCAGGAGAGAAAGGGTAGCTTTGTTGCCACAGGGAAGAGGGGGGTAGGGAACCCACTGAGTCTGACAGCTGACACCCAGAAACGTTGACACTTTCAGAATAACGTGTGTGTGTGTGCGCGCGTGCACATGCACACGCATGAGGTACTAGATTTGAACTCAGGGCCTTACACTTGCTGGGCAGATGCTTTACCACTTGAAGCACACACCCTGTTCTTTATGCTTTAGTTATTTTTCAGCTAACATCTTCTACTTTTCTAGGGGAGGGGCACTGGAAAACAACCTTAGACAGCGATCCTCCTATTTACACTTCTGTAGTGGGGGGTGGGGGGGAGAGGATGGATGGGATCACCAGTGTGAGTCACCACACCCAACTTGTATGTTGAGCTCTTGCTAGACATTTTGCCCTGGCCTCACTTCCACCCAAGATGCCTCTGATTTATCTCTACCTCCCAAAGAGCTGTGGTTATAGGTGACAGAGAGAGAGAGAGGGAGAGAGAGAGGAGGAAGAAGAGAGGAAGGGAAGGAGGGAGGGAGTCAGAAAAACAATCAGGTTTCTTTCCTCTTGCCCTTCAAATCCCCAACTCTCCCTTTCATCTAATAAAAAAAAAAAATCCACATCATGAACATCCCCAATAGTTGCTCATTTTAACATCCATTCCCACACACCAGCTCTCTCCAGGCCCGTGGGTGGGCAGTGGGCCTCAAGCCCGGAGGCCGCAGTCCCACTTTGCTATACGCAGGAAGAGCACTTCTGTTACACCGTAGCTTTGTTCACCATGACTTCCACCACCAGGGCATTTTCTTCCAGAAAGTTCTCTCTTTGGGACAATCAGTTTCACAAAACCTGCTTTAAAGAAGCCCAACTTCTTTTTGCATATTCCTGGAGGCTCTCTACCACCTGCTTGGGAGACCAACCCAACTGCTCATCAATGTGGCCTTCCCACAGCGTGAACCTCTCCTCCGAAGCTATCGGACTAGAAATAGACACTGATCCTTGGTCTTTATAGTCTGAAAAGCTCAGACTCTAAACTCTTGAAACCTGGTCCTGTAAATGCTGATTGTGTCCTTGCTGCAGTCAGTTCAAAGCTAGCCAGGGCAAAAAAGACTGTGAGAAGCCGGGCGCTGGTGGCTCACGCCTGTAATCCTAGCTACTCAGGAGGCTGAGATCTGAGGATCGCGGTTCAAAGCCAGCCTGGGCAGGAGGGACCGTGAGACTCCTATCTCCAATAAACCACCAGAAAACCGGAAGTGGCACTGTAGCTCAAGTGGTAGAGCGCTCGCCTTGAGCTGAAGAGCTGAGGGACAGCGCCCAGGCCCAGAGTTCAAGCCCCACGACCAACCAAAAAAAAAAAAAAAGGCTGTGAGATTTCTTATCTCCAACGAACCAGCAGAAACTAGCTTGGAGGCGGAAGCCATGGTTCCAATGGGTGAGGACTAGCCTTGAATGAAAAAGTCCAGCAAGGGGGTGAGGCCCTATGTTCAAATCTCGGTACGCATGTGCACACACACACACACACACACACACACACACACACACACACAATCTTTAAACCTTCAGAGTGACTGTTAGACCTGGGTGTTTGGGGTTTTTCATTGTTCTTTGAGAGGTTTCTCCACCCCAACCCACACTCTGCCACATCTGTCTCTCTCTCAGAGATCACGCATCTTTATTGCCTGTCCGAGTTGAGTGAGGAACTTGCTGGAAGCAGGGGAGAGAAACTCAAGGGAAGAAACTGACGGGGACTCGGCAGCCTCCTCTTCGCACGGTCACCCTTTGCTGTGAGTCACCTGCCAGCCTCAGCGAGCCTGTTGTTTCTCTGCAAGCCACAGAGAACCTCGTGGGACTTGCTTCTCTGGGTCATGAGGATGACTCACCCCAGCATGGGATCTGTCTTCAGCCCTCCTTCCCGGGGTGTGTGTGTCTGGGAATGGTGACGTCATGTCAGGGGGTGGTGACGTCATGTCAGGGGGTGGTGACGTCATGTCAGGGGGTGGTGACGTCATACCTCCCCATCTCCCAGAGCACATCCCAATCAGCACAAGCCAAGTCAGCACTCAGGTGAAACCTCCACTTTCCAGCCGGTCTCAGTATTTCACCAGGACCCCTCTTCTCCTTGGAGCATCATGTACAACATCCTGCAGTGGCCACATCCCGGGGCTCCTGAACCTCCGGATACTCCCAATATTTCTACAGAACCTCAAACTCATTTAAAAACACCGTCTCCTCGGTGGTATGGAGACTTTTGTTTTTTCTTTTTCTTTCCTTTCCCCCCCCCCCCCCATCTGCTCCCAGACTAGCCAAGATCCACATTATAAATTGCTAATTCTGCTAGGCAAGCACTCGGCCCCTAAGCTGTAGCCTGGGCGGGGTGGGGTGGGGCCCAAACAAAGGCCAGTTCTCAGCAGAGCAGCACTGCTAAACATTGTAAGGAATCGGGGAAAAACCTAAGGACTTTCAACCTTGGAAAATGAATGGGACACTAGACGTGGAAAGCATGGGTGAACAATTGAAAACAGTCCCTGGCCTGTAAAGCAAGAGGACTTGGCAGCACAAGTTCAAGGGTGTCAGGGCCCATCAAGCTCCATCTTGACCTTCCTCTGTCCATCTCTTGCTAGTATTTGTTACCTGCTCTCTTCCCAGTCTTTGGGCTTCTTGGTTTCATTTGGTTTTATGCAGCGAATATAGTGGGGTGTGCATTTCATCAGCGTGCTGACAAGGTCGTTGGCTTGTTTCTAGACAGGAAGAATTACAGCCATTAGAGACCACACCTTTCTCCAAAGCAGATCAACTCTCAAAGGCAAAGACTTGTGAAACGCTAGGATGGAAATATAATTGCTAGGAATTAATCTTCACGACAATTTGTTCAGTAGGCCTAAATGAGGGCTCCCAAGCTTTAATTTAAGGCTCTATTGACTTTATGGCAATTTAACCACATGGTTTTGTTTTGTTTGGGGTGAGGGGGGGGGGACTTTGCAGAGAGACATTGCTCTCTCACCCAGCCTTCTTACTTTATATCTGCTACTCTACCCCTTGAGTCACCATCTCTAGTTTGGTATTTTGCTGGTTAATCGGAGATGGAGTCTCTCAGAGTTTTCTGCCCTGGCTAGCTTTGAACCTCAACCCTCCAGATTTCAGCTTTCTGAGTAGCTGGGATTACAGGCGTGAGGTACTGATGGCTGGCAATTTGATCACTATTAAATGGGTTGGAAGTGTGATTATTGAAAGGAATTAGAAATTTTTAGAACTGTTAACAAAACAATAAGAAACGAAACCAACAAATCAGTCTTCACATACAAATTGTCCATGGGGAACAAGAGAATAGGTTACTTACTAAGGAATTAAGTTCAATTTACTAAAGACATGTGCAAAAACATTGTTTTCATTCATTTTGTTTTGTTTGCAAATAGTGAGCAAGATTTTAAAAAAAAACTCAAAATCCCCTCAATTCTCTTTCCAGGAATAGAATGAATACATAGTCCTCTCTCTCTCTCTCTTCTCTCTCTCTCTCTTGTCAGTCATGGGGCTTGAACTCTGGGCTTGGGCGCTGTCCCTCAGCTTTTCAGCTCAAGGCGAGCGCTCTACCACTTGAGCCACAGCGCCACTTCCAACTTGCTGGTGGTTTATTGGAGATAAGAGTCTCACAGACTTTTCCTGCCGAGGCTGGCTTTCAACTGCAATCCTCAGATCTCAGCCTCCTGAGTAGCTGGGATTACAGATGTGAGCCACTGGAATCTATCCAGCCATCTCATTTGAACTGATAGAAATTGCTGGTTGCCAGTGGTTCACCCCTATAATCCTCGCTACTCAGGAGGCTGAGATCTGAAGATTGTTAATTCAAAGCCAGCAAGGGCAGGAAAGTCTATGATACTCTTAGGTCCAATTAACCACCAAAGAGCCAAAAGTGGAGCTGTGACTCCAGTGATAGAGTACCAGCCTTGAGTGAAAAAGCTGACAGACAGCACCCAGGCCCTGAGTTCAAACCCCAGGACATGTGCACATGCACATGTCACATACAACATGGAAATTCACAATTAAGGAATATGAGACCCATACAGCGTTCAGAATTTATAACCTTGTAGGCTACTTCATTCAATTTCTTCCTCCATATTTCCCTTGCAAAACTTGCAGACAGAGCACTGTTCTTGTGGCAGGTAACTCCTCCTCCACAAAGCTAAAAGGCCCATTTGAAATCATCACTCCTTAACTAGGCTTGGGTCACCACACTGAATTAACTTCAAGCCTCAGAAACTGAGCTAGGATTGCTTAGGATGCATTTCAAATGGTGAGAATCTCTGATTTGGTTTGAAGGAAAACAGGAGTAGAGTTCCCACGGACACAGCACACACACACACACACACACACACACACACACTCGTACATCCTGTGGGTCCAAGGATGTGGTACAAATGCAAATTACACACACACACACACACACACACACACACACACACCCGTACATCCTGTGGGTCCAAGGATGTGGTACAAATGCAAATTTGCCTTCCAAGCAAACCAGGCAGAGGAAAAAACCTCCAAAAAGAAAATAGCCCCGAGAATCTCTCAAACCAGAAAAACCATCATACCGTCAGCAGAAGGGGCTCTGCTGGCAACACCCAGCCCTCCTCTCTGTCAATTAGGGCTTTTCTGTTTTCATGCCTTTAGGAAATCTGAAACCCTTGAGAAAATGATTGCATCTACTCAGGTCAAGATGTTCGTGGATGAATACAGTTCTCTGTTGAGCCATGCAGAAAAAAAAGCTTGCTAGGCACCACCTAGAGTGGAGACCAGAATAGCAGAGCCCCCCTGATCAAAGCAAAGGCCTCTGCTGAGAAAGTAAATAGTCTCTTATCTTCTTTGATGATAGAGACTGCAATCCAAAAATGATGCTGATGATACGTTGTGACCAAAGGTTAAAAGCTACAGATAGGCTGTAGAGTGGCTAGGAACACAGCTTTATTTTCTAAGTCTCCAAAAATACTTTTTTTGGGGAACCCCCCCCCAGAAAAAGTGGTAGTTGTAGGGCCCAGAAAAAGTGGTAGTTGTAGGGCTTGAACTCTGGGCCTGGGCACTGTCCCTGAGCTCTTTAGCTCAAGGTTAGTGCTCTACCACTTGAGCCACAGTGCCACTTCAGTTGTCTGGAAGTTTATTGGAGATAAGAGTCTCATAGATTTTCTTGCCTGGGCTGGCTTTGAACCCCGATCCTCAGATCTTAGCCACCTGAGTAGCTTACAGGCGTGAGCCACTGGCACCCAGCCCAAAGATACTTTAAAAAACCTTTTGTGCTGGTCCTGAGCTTGAATTCAGAGTCTGGGCACTGTCCCTGAGCTTCTATGTTTCAGTTGAGCATTCTACCACTTGGGGCCACAGCCCCACTTCTGGCTTTTGGGTGGTTAATTGGAAGCAAGAATCTCCATGAACTTTCCTGCCCTGAGCTAGCTTCAAACCGTGATTCTCAGATCTCAGTCTCCTGAGTAGCTAGGATAACAGGCGTGAAACACTGGTTCCTGACTGATTCACTCTCATTTTAATACTGATCTCTTTCCAGCTACAGATTCAATAAGATTTAATAAAGCTTCAGCATTGTCACTAAATGCTGTATACACGCACGTAAAATAAATTGATGAGGGCTGGGAATATGGCTTAGTGGCAAAGTGCTTGCCTACCATGCATGAAACCCTGGGTTCGATTCCTCAGTACCACATGCAAAGAAAAAGCTGGAAGTGGCTCTGTGGCTCAAGTGGCAGAGCACTAGCCTTGAGCAAAAAGCTCAGATACAGTGCTCAGGCCCTGAGTTCAAGCCCCAGGACTGGCAAAAAAAAAAAAAATCAAAACAACAACAAAAAAAATCAAAAACAAAATAAATTGATGAGTGTTCCCACCAAATGAACATTAAACTTAGATCATAATATATGAGAGAGATCATAGAGTGTGTGTGTGTGTGTGTGTGTGTGTGTGTACTTGTTCATAATATATGAGAGAGAGAGATCATAGTGTATGTGTGTGTGTGTGTGTGTGTGTGTGTGTACTTGTTTTGGGAATTGAACTCAGGACCTGGAGTTTTCAAGGCAGACAGGACATCACTTGAACCACACCTCTAGAGAGCCTTTTTTGTGTGGGTTGTTTCCAAGGCCACTCTCTTCACTTTCTGCTCTAGCTGCCTGGCTGCAATCCTTCCACTCACGTTTTCCCACGTCACTGGGGATGCCAGGCGTGGGCCATCTCGCCCAGCCATTGATTAAGATGTCATCTCCTGAACTTTCCACCTGAGCTGGCCACACAGCATCGGATCCCTGCCTTCCAGGTAGCTAGGATTCACAGGCTTGAACTATCATGCCCAGTTCCGTTTTGGATTTTTTTCAATAATTCGAATACAATGAAAGATTCACGGTGAAGACAACTTTGCATATACATGTTTCTGTCCAGAGCTCAGGGGCCCTGGTGATGATCATCATTAGGATGACAGTCATCTGCAAAATACTGCCGATATGGAGGGAAGAATAGATGGGCAATGGCTGGATCTCCAAGAGGGCCTTAGAGGGGACAGACATGAAGAGAGGGGGGATTTCACACATGGGAGCATACCAGCCAGACACGGGTCACTCAACCAGTGATCTCTATGGAGGTGAGAATACAACTTTATTGTTTTTGGCAGAACAAGGGTTAGAACTCAGGGCCTTCGCTTACCCAGGCAGATGCTCTATCATTTCAGCCACACATCTAGCCCTTTCTGCGTGTCTATGTGTGTGTGTGTGTGTGTGTGTGTGTGTGTGTGTGTAATTTATTTTTTTGAGCTGGTCCATGGGTTTGAACTCAGGGTCTGGATGCTGTCCCTGAGCTTTTTTACTCAAGGCTAGAGCTCTAACACTTTGAGCCCCAGTGCCACTTCTGTTATTCTTGTGGTTCATTAGAGATGACAGTTGCAGGGGCTTTCCTGCCCAGGCTGGCTTTGAACCCTGATCCTTACATCTCAGCCCCCTGAGTGGCTAGGATTACAAAATTACGGGAATGAGCCTTCGATGCCTGGGCAGCTTTGGGTATGTTTAAGATAGAGTTCTGCTCTTTACCTAGGTGGTCCTAGATGCATGGCAGGTGCATTTACATCCAACTTTGTTTTGTTTTGTTGTTTTTACACTGGCTGCCTGGACCACTGTCTTCCTGATCGCAGGCTCTTGGGTAGTGTGGATGCTGGCCGTATGCTACCGCTCACAATGGTACAATCTCTATAGATAAATGAGGTTGTGTTGTGTTATCCAGAGCAAGCATGAGAGAAAGAGAGACAGAGATTAAATCTTCAAAGGAGACCAAAATGAAAGAATAAAAAATAAAAAAGCCCTGATCCCTGTTCCCTTTTTTACAAGGAATAATCCAGACCACTTGAAAATGAGTCATCGTGACCTCGATTCGCTGGGCCCTTGGATCTGAATGTGGCGATCTCATGACTAGTTTTTCCAGCTCAGAGCCAACCCTTATTCAGGATCTGCAAGTGAAGGCATGAGTCAGAAGCTTCATGCAGACGTTAACATCTGGAAAACTTCCTGTCTGTTCTGCCCTCTTAAGTTCACTAGCTCTTCCAATAGGATGTTCCTATTAACTCAGCTGGGACCTGCTCACCAGCTGCAACATACACCTGTAGTACCAGCTAATCAGGAGGCTGAGACAGGCTGAGCACTACCCCTGAGCTTCTTTTGCTCAATGCTAGCGCTCTACCACTTGAGCCACAGTGCCACGTCCGGCTTTTTCTGTTTATGTGGTACTGAGGAATCGAACCCAGGCCTTCATGCATGCTAGGCAAGCCCTAAGCCACATTCCCTGTTTTTTTTAAAATCCTTGTTTGCTTACTCTTTTGTTTTCTTGAGGTAGGGATATCAGAATATAGATGAGGTTGGTCTTGAACTTGTCATTCTAAGGCCTCAGCCTCCCCAGTGCTGGGATTCTAAGCGGGTACTTGCATACTTGTAATCCTGCCTGTGAGACTATGTAAAAAGTAACTACCACAAATATTCCACCAGATTGTGTCTGGCTTTCTCCGTAAAACCTGGAGGCTGCTGTGGCTGGAATCCTTTTAGAGAATCCTTTACTTCAACCAGGCCATAAACAGCCTTGGTGTTCATGGGGCGGGGGGTATGGAGGCAGACACAGGGAGAATGGCCCGCAGAGCGTCAGGGAGAATGGATGGTCTTAGGCAGGGCACCAGCACAGGCCTATCTGATGACCTTTTGGAGACAAGGAGCATAGTGGGGGAGGGGGGGAGGGGAAGGCGGGGGCACGCATGGGCAAACTGAGGATGATATAAGAGGAACCTGTAGATATCTGGTGCAGAAAATGGCTCAGGTTGACCAGATGCTGGTGACTCATGCCTATAATCCTAACTACTCAGAAGGCTGAGATTTGAGAATCAAGGTTTGAAGCCACCCTGGTCAGGAAAATCAATGGAGACTCTCCAATGAACCACTAGAAAACCGGAAGTGGCACTGTGGTTCAAAATGATAAGACTGCTAGCCTTGAGCAAAAGAGCTCAGGGACAGTGCCCAGGTCCTGAGTTCAAGGCCCATGACTGACGGAAAGGAAGAGAAAAGAAAAGGAAAAGAAAAAGGAAAGGAAAAGTCTCAGGCAGCATATTAAATGCCTTAGATGAATTACTCAGTTGAGTAATCGGCTTCTGTGTTCTCCCTCATTTTACAGATAAGCGAAAGAGACATTAAGAGTGCAGTGAGGGGCTGCTGGGAAGGTGGCTCAGTGGTAGAGCGCTTGCCTTGCATGCATGAGGCCCTGGGTTCAATTCCTCGGCACCACATAAGCAGAAAAAAAAAGCCAGAAGTGGTGCTGTGGCTCAAGTGGTAGAGCACTTGCCTTGAGCTGAAGAGCTGACGGCCAGCACCCAGGCCCAGAGTTCAGGCCCCAAGACTGGCAAAAACAAACAAAAAAAGAGTGCAGTGACACAGACTGATAATGATATGCTGAGAGCCAGTGCTGGAGTTTGAACAACCAACACCCAAATAATCGAACCCCAAAGCCCTACTCAACTCTGAATCTCTACTAATCACTTGATCTTTTTATGTGATTTTTTAAAATAATATTAACAGGGCTGAGAAGGTGGCTTAGTGGTAGAGTGTTTGCCTAGCATGCATGAAACTCTGGGTTTGATTCCTCAGTACCACATACACAGAAAAGGCCAGAAGTGGTGCTGTGGTTCAAGTGGTAGAGTGCTAGCCTTAAGCAAAAGAAGCTCAGGGACAGTGTCCAGGCCTTGAGTTCAAGTCCCAGGACTGGCAAATAATAACAATAATAATAGTAACTGATTATATGGCCCGAGGAGGGGTGGTGGAATCAATAGAGCTGGGCCTTAGTAGTTCATGCTATAATCCTTGCTACTTAGGAGGGTGAATCTGAGGATTATAGTTCAAAGCCCACCTGGGCAGGAAAGCCTGTGAGAGCCTTATTTCCAGTTAATCACCAAAAAGCTAGAAGTGGAGCTGAGCTGCAAAGTGGGAGAGCACTAGCCTTGAGCAAAAAAGCTAAGCAAGAATGTGAAACCCTGAGTTCAAATTCCATTACCAACATACCTACGCATGCGCACACACATTATACACATACACACAATCTATCAATGGCAGCTTCTTAGAGCTACATGGTCCAGTGTGTTTAACACAACCTCTCCACATAGAACATAATTAAGCCCAACAACTTTGCCCCCCCCCCACCCAGGAGAGGTGGGGTGGGAAGGGGGGTTCAGACAACCCCAAACACACAAGGGACTTCTGAGAAGTGGAAACGAGCTCCTTGTGCTGTTGGAATCCATGGGGTGGGGGGGCAGGACATCTGCAATTCCCAGACCGAGGAGATCCACACCTCCATCTTTTGCTGGGGGTGTGGGTCCCTCCCCAAAAATTCACCTTAAATTTTAGGCAAGTCATCTTCTCCACTTGGTGATCTGAAAGGCCCTGGCCTGAAAAACTCATTAAGATCCCCTACAAGGCCCCCAACCACAAAACGGTGCTGATAGATGAACACAGTTTGAGGTCATTTCCTCTTAGAAAGTTGCTGATTATCATCCGCTGATTGGAAGACAGTGGGCTACTTAATAACCATGGGGGATTGCAGAAGAGACCAGTCACATTCAGCTCCATCCTAAGAGCTTTTCAGAACAGTGACATTTGCTCCTGGGAGCTCTGAAACCACGCCCCTCCAGTCTCCCAGACCTTCTCTAGTCCAGCCGTCTTAGGAGAGCTAGAGGAGAACCCTAGCTCTCAGCCTCTAGAAACTTCCCCCAAGAAAACTAACCTTTATTTTGCTTCCAGCCGTTGTTGGGCGTCCTTTCTTATCGGCTTGCAGATTTTCAGGAAATAAAGACTTTATAAAAGGCCTGGGGAGGAAAAAAGTGAGAAAGGGGGATGGATCAGCAACCTCTCAGGGCTGTTGGGGGGGTCATCTGACTCCAAGCGTGAAGCCAGCAGGATGGGAAGCAGAGAAATGTCTATCACGGCAGAGTCGTGGCCTAAAAGATGGGTTTGAAAAACTCTGCCTTTGGCTGGACACTGGTGGCTTGCACCTGTAATCATAGCTACTCAGGAAGTTGGTATATGAGGATCACGGTTCAAAGCTAGGCTGGGCAGACAAATTTGAGACTCCTATGTCCACTTAAACCAGAGGAAAAAGCTGAACAGGGAGCTATGGCTTAAGTGGTAAAGCATCACTCAGGAGTGAAAAAGCTAAGCACAAGAATGCAAGGCCCTGAGTTCAAGCTCTAGGGAACAGACATACATACCTACATACACTCACACACACAAGAAAAAACAAAGTAAGATGCTGGTGTTTCTGGCCTGTAATCCTAGCTAATCAGGAGGATGAGATCTGAGGATCATGGTTCAATTTACAGGCATAAGCACCAGCCCCCAACATCAATATTTTTGTAACTGACAGAAAATAAAGAAATCCACGCAAGTTGGCAATCTGATGATTCAACTCAAGCTCATTATCCCTCCAAAAGACTTGTTTGAGGATTCTTGGATTTTCCAGGAAATCACCCTCCCCCCACCCAGCCATCTACTTTTATCCTGACCAGACATACTTAATAGATTTTTTTTTTGCTGCGAATACATTTATGAAAGAATATGTCATGTCTAGATGACAAGAGATTATATGGAACTGCCATCAAGAGCGTTTGAACTTGGCAGGAACTTTAATAATTAAAAACCATCTCTGGAAAGTCTTTACCTGGCCACTGTGAAACCCACAAGTCAGGGTTTGGGGCTTGCCTGACCTTTGCAGAGAAGAGAAAATGGACTTAAGTGTATTTTGAATGAAAAGAAATCTGACATCTTGCAAACGGTGGTCTGAGGGCTCAAAGGGCAAGCAGGATGGCGGGGGGCGGGGGGGGAGACTAGGGCAGAGAGCTAAGTGCAGTCCAATAACTGCTCACCAGGAAATGATTTTTGCTTTCAATGCAGTTAATTTCTTTTCTTAGAAAGTTATCAGGATTGCTGATGTTAATGAATATTAAATAAAATCAAGCATTGGCGGCTCACATCTATTAGTCCTAGCTACTCAGGAGGCTGAGATCTGAGGATCAAGGTTTGAAGCCAGCTCAGGCAGGAAAGTCCATAGTTCTCTTATTTCCAATTACCCACCAGAAAACTGGAAGTGGAACTGTGGCTCAAGTGGTAGAGCATTAACCTTGAACAAAAAAAGATCAGGCCCGAAGAACTGCCACCAAAACCAAAACAAAACCAACAAACAAAGCTCTACAAGATCTACCAGGCTATGCAACATTGGAAAGTCTTTTTTTTGTTGTTGTTGTTGGTCCTGGGGCTTGAACTCTGGGTTTGGGCGCTGTCCTTGTGCTCTTCAGCTCAAGGCTAGCACTCTACCACTTGAGCCACAGCACCACTTTTGGTTTTCTAGCGGTTTATTGGAGATAAGAGTTTCATGAACTTTCCTGCCCGGGCTGGCTTTGAACCGTGATCCTCAGATCTCAGCCTCCTGAGTAGCTAGGATTACAGGCATGAGCCACCAGTGCCTGGCCTCAGAGAATTTTTCTGAGCTGCCTCTCCTTCTCTCTGTCTACAGCTTAGGGTGTTAGGCATGGTGGGTCATAACTATCATCCTAGCAATTGGGAAGCAGGGGCAGGAACTTCATATGTTTGAGGCCCTGCATAGTGAGACTCTGACTCAAGAACAAACCAACCAATAAAGTTCTTTGAGTTGTTTCCCTGGAATTGCCTGCATTCCCAAGAGCTCCTGGGATGCAGGTTAACTTAGTCTTACTAAGCTATTACCCATCTTGAAAAATGAAGTAACCACAGAAAAGTTCTTTGGCTGCTGTTTCAAGGGCAAAGTATCACAAAACCAGACTATCTACCTCCCCCGCTTCCCCGCCCCCCCCTCCCTTCACCCCACCCTATCCTCTCTTATAATGGTTTGGGAATTTGAATTCAAGAGTCTCAGGCTCGCTAAGCAAATGCTCCACACCATGTGAGCCAGGCCCAACCTGGACCACAATCCTCCTATTTCTATCTCCCGGATAACACATGTGGCCCACGAGAACCTCTCATTGTGATCCTCCCAATCTCCATTTCCTGAGTAGCTGGGATTATAAACAAGAGCTACCATGCCTGGTAGATGACTATTCTGCTGTTGCTGGTGAAAAATGGCTCTTCACATCCAAACCTATCATGCTCACTCCAAAACTGATGCTGCCTGGCACACACACGCCATCTGTGATTGGCGGCAGGAAGTCACACAGCATCTGTGATTGGCGGCAGGAAGAGTTAGGGACACAAGATCCAGGTCTGATTGGAGGGGGAAAAAAAGTTTGGGATTTTCTTTTCTATTGTTCGTCAGTCGTAGGGCTTGAACTCAGGGCCTGGGTGAGTGCTCTACAACTTTGAGCCATGGCTCTACTTCTGTTTTGTTTTCTCTTTCTCTCTCTTTTTTTTTTTTCCTGGTTATTTGGAGGCGAATGTCTCTGGAATTTGTCTGCCCAGGTTGGTTTTGAACCATGATCCTTAGAGCTCAGCCTCCTGAGGATCTAGGAATATAGGCATAACCCCCGGCCTCACCCCTACCCATCCCTCAGCTAGGTAGGGTTTCTTTCATTTGTTTTTTGGTCGTGGGACTTGAACTCTGGGCCTGGGCGCTGTCCCTCAGCTCTTCAGCTCAAGGCTAGTGCTCTACCACTTGAGCCACAGCGCCGCTTCTGGTTTTCTGCATGGTTTATTGGAGATAAGAGTCTCATAGACTTTCCTGCCTGGGCTGGCTTTGAACCAAGATCCTCAGATCTCGCATCCTGAGTAGCTAGGATTACAGGTGTGAGCCACCAGCACCCAGCTAGGCAGTTGTTTTTAAAGAAAACAAGCAGACAAATTCTAGTTTGGACTCAACAACTCCAGCAAGTAAGCTGACAGGCACTCAAACAATTCAATTGGTTCGTTCTAATGCCAGAAGTTTCCAGTGGCCTCTACCATATGTCGGAAAAGGAAGACTTCTCTTACAGCTCACTGCTCTGCATGAGTTCGATCAGATCCATGAAGAGAACATCGCGGTTCCGTTCACAGAAGCCATCCATGTCGTAGGACACCTGGACAACAAGACAAAGAAAGCTGGTTTTATCCTGTCAGCATTGCTTAGGATATAAACTCTAAAGTAAAAATCGCTCCTATCACAAGAATGTGTGCATTTTTTATTTTATTTTTGTCAGCTGTGGAGCTTGAACTCAGGGCCTGAGCCCTATCCCTGAGTTCGTTTGCTCAAGGCTAAAGCTCTACCACTCTGAGCCACAGCTCCACTTCTGGTTTACTGGTGGTTTATTGGAGATAAAAGTCTCATGGAGACTTTTCTGCCCAGGCTGGCTTCAAACCCTGATCTTCAGATCTCAGCCTCCTGAGTAGCTAGGATTAATAGATGAGCCTGATGAATGTGTCTATTTAAGCTGTGGCAATCTGGCCAGAAATTCATGCTCGAAGACCGGGGTTAACAAGAATAGAGCTGGGAGGAATGAGAAATCTGGTGGAAGACAGGACGAGGAATAACCTTAACCCAGATCAGCAGCCCCCCCCCCCCCCCCCCCAGCCTGGCACCAAATGAATATCCATGCATTGTCTACGAACAAGCAACAGCACGAACTCTCAGCTCTCTGGTAGGCATCAGAAGGCAAAGAGTCCAAGTTTGTGATTGGATCCTGTGCAATTCAAGGCCTACCACTGCTGTAGTGCTTTCTATAGGTACCGGAGTGACTCCATCTTGAAAAATGTGTGCTAATAATATTTTAGGGTTACTCTGTGTGTGTACAGGTCCTGGAGTTGAACTCAGGACCCACATACTCTCCTTTAGATAATTTGGAATTCTAGCACTTGAGCCATAGCCACTTCTACTTTTTTGGTGATTAATTGGAGATAAAGAGGCTCAACAGACTTCCTGTCACGGGCTAGCTTCAAATCACAATCCTCAGATCTCAGCCTCCTGTGGAGCTAAGGATGACAGGTGTGAGACACCAGCGCTTATTTGTGTTTTCCTCCCCGACTTCTCCAAAGGGCCTAGTTGTTGCAAGAATGAACTACATGGGATCTGGTGTGCCTCTGGAGAAAATACCACAGCCCCGAGGGTTCTAGTTAGGAAGCCATTGGCAGAAGATCGCTCCCCTGCTCCGGCCCTACCTTGCCAGCGTAGTGATGAATAATGAAGCCTTGGTTCCAGCTGTTGAAGTGTTCGTGGCTCCCAATCTGCATCTGGAGCTTCTGGAGCAGTGTCTGATCGGCTCCTTCACCCACAGCATGCATGGTTGCGCACACATCATCCAGGATACTCATGATACCTGGAGGGTTCTGGGGAAGGGGGCGGGGGGGGGGACCAAGATGACGAGACACCCGTCACTGACTCTTCTAGAACATTCAGTGCCTACCAGGCCCTATCTTAAGCCAAGAAACTACTTCCTAGATCTAGATATCCTTTTGTGTGTTTGCCCAGGCTGGCTTGGACTTCGATCTTCCTACTAATGCTTTCCCTACAGGCCCACTACCATGCCTGTTTTTTTGTTGAGATGAGGTCTTGCTACCCTTTTTTTTGAGAGGGGGGCAGACTGGAGGGGCCTTAAACTGCGATCCTCTCAGTTTCTACCTCCTAAGTAGTAGCTGAGATAACAGCTACTTAGATAACATACCAAGCCCTAGATAGCATCTTAAAAATCAGCCATTTCCTTAAGACAAGAACGCCACATCCCAAAGGAGCCCTGAGGAACAAAAGATGGGGGCAAGTCCATTCTGAAGAAATGATTTCACCCTTCATGTTTTATGCAAGGCCACACACAGATCATTATCTCCTACTGGTACTAAGCTGCCTTTCAAAATCTGAAATGAACGAAAACACTCCCCTTTGACCCAAATGCATTGCTGAACATTCGCTTACGCAGGTAGAGCCAGCTGAAGTGCTCCATAGCTCCTATCATTCATTCCTTGTTTTCATATTCATAAGTTTGACATGTTTTTTGTTCAGATTACAGCCTTACTCTGAAATGCTGCAGCTTTTCAAAGAACGGAATAGTCAATCCGGGTGCTGGTGGCTCACGCCTGTAATCCTAGCTATTTAGGAGGCTGAGATCTGAGGATCACAGTTCAAAGCCAGCCCGGGGAAAAAAGTCCCTGTGAGACTCTTACCTCCAATAAATTACCCCCTCCCACCCCAAAACATAATAAAACAAAATCCTAAAAAACAAACCCAGAGTGGCACTTTGGCTCAAGTGGTAGAGCACTTAGCCTTGAACACAACAAAGAGGCTCAGGGACAATGCCCAGGCCCTGAATTGTGAGACTTGAACGCAAGGTCTGGGCTCTGTCTCTGAACTTCTTTTTGCTTAAGATTAGTACTCTACCACTTGGGCTACAGTTCTACTTCTGGCTTTTTGAGTACTTTATTGGAAAGAAGAGTCTCATAGATTTTCCTGCTTGGGCTGGCTTTGAACCTTGATCCTCAGATCTGAGCCTCCTGAGTGGTTAGGATTATAGATGTGAGCCACCAGGGCCTGGTGATTTCTAGTTTTAATAGAATCATGTTCTGTCTACAGAGCTTCCCCCCTCCCCTTTCAATCACTTCTTAGAGTATTCGTTATAGAAGTTGCATGATTGCATGAATGCCAGGCCCAGCAGGAGCAGTTCATATGCTATACCATCATCATGAACATGGGCTTCCAGAACTCAGATCCACTCCCATTTATAAACCAACATTTAAACATGTTCCTGTTTATCAGAATATTAAAACTCCACAGACCCTATTGTTCTTTATGGGGCTTGAACTCAGGCCTGGGCACTATCCCTTAGAACTTTTTCACTCAAGGTTAGCGCTCTACCCCACTTTGAGCCACAGCGCCACTTCCAGTTTTCTGGTGGTTCATTGGAGATTGGAGTCTTATGGGTTTTTCTGCCCAGGCTGGCCTTGTACCACAATCCTCAGATCTCAGTCTCCTAAGTGGCTAGGATTACAGGTTTTACACCACCAGAGCCCAGCTTTACTGTTCTATTTTGATGCACAAACATTTATACAAAGCTCATGTAACAGCTAAATGTCGTGACAGATCAGACTTTACCGAGAACAAAATTGCAAATGTAAGCCAAAACTTACCACTTTATTCTCTATGAGGTCGCACACAATTTTATTATTGAAGTATTCGATGGGTGTCCACCGTATTCCTTCTTGAACATACTCTTCCTGTAGGACAAAAATGAGGGACTTGCATAAATCATCATGCAGGAGAAAAATCTAAATGCTTTCTATAAAGAGTAGGAAGTTTAATTTTTTTTCTTTTTCTTTTCCTCCCCAGGAGATTCCAAGAAAGGAATATTTTATGGCTTGGGGATTTTTTTTTTTTTGCAGGGTGGGGGAGGTGTGTGGGGGCTTGAATTCAAGGCCAGTGGGGGAGGGGGGCACTATCCCTGAGCTCTTCAACTCAAGGCTAGCACTCTACCACTTTGAGCCAAAGTACCACTTCCAGTTTCCTGGCAGTTAACTGAAGACTCAGACTTCCTGCCCTGGCTGGCTTTTGGACTTCTATCCTCAGATCTCAGCCTCCTGAGTAGCTAGGATTATAAGTGTAAGCCACCAGCACCTGGCTCTAACTCTTTTTTGTGGGGGAAGGAAGGGCGGTATGTTTAGTTTGAACCCTATGGTGTGGCTTACCATGTACTTTTTCTTGACTAACTAAATTAATGATGCAATATGATTTAACTTATTAAGTCCAGTTTCCTTCCCTCTCCCCTCTCCCTGCACACACACACACACACACACACACACACACAAAACTCTCTCATGGAACAGTAGAACCTCTTAGTTAGGGGCTGTTTTCTCATGCAGGTTAGTTGCTCATTTAAATGAGCTGCCCCCTGTCCTGCTGGTCTTGCTTAGTTGGTTTTCTTTGCTACATCTTCCTTATTTTTGGACCTTTAAATGTGATGGGAGAATCTTGGGACTCAATCTTCTAGCAATCTTCCAGCAATCTTATTTCAGTAAGTGCCTGGACCTTAATACTTGCCAACTAAGGACCATGAATTCATTTCTCTAGGATTGGCCTTGCCACTGAGTTCTTGACTCCACCCATTTTTGTCATCATGGCATTTCCATGGTGGGGTTCAGTAGACCCAGGCCACAAACAGGGGAGTCTTCATTCAGTGTCCACTGGGAGTCCAGTGATTCGTCTAGTTTATCCTTTAGGAAATACATTCACTGTTTTTTTGGGGATGGGGCAGTCATGGGTTTTGAACTCAGGGCCTGGCCACTGTCCCAGGAGCCACCGGAAGCTGGGAGAGGAAGAATGCTAGGGTTTTAAGAAAGAAGCCTTGATCATGAATGTGGCCCTCAATCTCAGATTCTGGGACCCCAGCTGCGAGCAGCAATGTCTGCACATGGAAGCAGCCCAGCTTGCATTCTGCTGGGCGGGCGCTGGGGATCTAAAGCAATATGGCATGTGGGAAAACGATCAGGCATGCGCTGAGCTTTGAGAAGGAACTATAAACAAGCCTTGGGAACTCCAATGAGACTTGAAATGGCGGCTATGTTCCAAAGACGTGTTCTTTGAGGCTAGATGATGGGGAGTGTGGCGAATCTGAGAAAACCAAATTTTTCCTCTAGAACACAGTGTCTGCGTAGACCGAAGAGGTTGGAACGAGGGTGGCCATGAGTCAGACTGGAGAAAAACAGCTTGTCATTTGACCAAGCGCCCAGCACCACTGCCGAAGGAGAAAGGAAGCGTAGCAGATGGCATTTATATCTTCTAGACTAAAATGCTGCAATGGCATATGGTTCTCCCCCCCCAATATGACTTTTTGAGATATATTTCCTAATACAAGACTCAAACCTGAAGCTATTATCCAGAGAGAAATCTATAGCCCTTCAGTCAAATCAGCAATAGCACAGGACGGAATTAGAGACACTGCTTACCTGTTCTGCTTTTAATGTCAGCTCAATAAATATCTGCTGGAGCTTCTCGTTCACAAAATTGATGCAAAACTGTTCGAAGCCATTTTTCTGAGGAAGGAGGAGAAGGGGGGAAAAAAGTTCTTTCCTGTAAGCATCTTGCAAAATCATCCCAAAGTCATTTCTAAGGGATTTACAAAAATGGTTGCATGTACAAAGCTTTCATTTTTTATGCCAATTATTGGGCATGTCCATGGCATGAAGTTCAGTGTTACAGTGGTGCCAGTGTTCAGGCCTGCAATCCCAGATACTCAGGAGGCTGAGATCTGAGGATCCAAGTTCGAAACCAATCCTGGGCAGACAAATCTGAGAGACACTGATCTCCAGATTAACCAGCAAAATGCTGGACGTGGAGGGGTGTGGTAAAGCAACAGCCTAGAACAAAACAAGAAAAAGCTGAGCAAGAGTGCGAAGCACTGAGTTCAGGCCTCAACAGTGGCATAAAAGAAAGGAGAGGGAAATGGAGAGGGAGAGAGGAATGAGAGGGGGAGAGAAGGAGAGGGAGAGAAAAGGGGAGAGGAAGGGAGGGAGGGAAAGAGGGAAGGAGAGAAAGAAAGATGAAAGAAAAAGGAAGAAGGAAGGAAGGGAGGGAGGGAGATGGGAGGGAGGGAGGGAAGGAGGGAGGGAGGAAGGAAAGAAGGAAGGAAGGAAAGTAGGAAGGAGGAGAAGGAGGGAGGGAGGGAGGAAGGAAGGAAGGAAAGTAGGAAGGAGGGAAGGAAGAAAGGAAGGGAGGGAGGGAGGGAGGGAGGGAGGAAGGAAGGAAGGAAGGAAGGAAGGAGAAAGAGCGCAGCATAATTTCTATTGCAAAGACACGAATTTGGTAATGTTACATGAAAAGCTCACAAAAGGCCAAAATAAGCCAGCTGGAGTGATTCTTACACCATTGAGAATTCTTCCCAGCAGGCCAAATGACAGAGGCCACCTCCCCCTCCAGCCTGGGATGATTACAAAGCAGCCTCACCTGGAATATTTCAAAGCCATAGATGTCCAGGACGCCTATGTTATATTCTTCGTGGTCCTTCTCCATGGCTTTGTTGATGGACTAGAAGAGAGTCAAGGGTACGCCCATCAGCGCCTGCGCATTCCTTCATATGAACAACAGGCACACGGGGGGGGGGTGTGTGGAGAGGGGAAGGTGGGCGGGGGGAGGGGGCACCCTTGTGATGAGCTTTCAAAGAGGTCTTGCGGGGCACCAGTGGTGCATGCCTATAATCCTAGCTGCTCAGGAAGCTGAGATCTGCAGATCACAGTTCAAAACCAGCCTCAACAGAAAAATCTGGGAGATGCTCATCTTCAATATACCAGCAAAAAGCCTGAATGGAGCTGTGACTCAAGCAGTACAGCCCCAACCTTGAGTGAAAAACTTAAGGCAACAGCTCCAAGGCTGGGTGGAAGCCCAGGTAACTAGCGTGGCGTGTGCATGCACGTGAACAGCGCTATAGCACAAGGTTAGGGGAAAAAAAAATGTTTGCTTCATGATGGAAACCATTAATTTTTGGCAGAGTTAGCTTTCCTCAGGAAGCTTTGACAAGAAGAAAATAGCATTAGAAGGATCGAAGTTAAAAAGACCTCTTTTTCATGAAGAACCAATTTTACATAATTTGTAACTATCGTTTTTGTTGTTCATGATTTGGCAATTATCTAGTGATTGCCTCACGCAGTGTGTGAGTGCCAAGGCCATCAGGGCCTGGGAGCGCATGCAAAATTCAAGCTGTCTGCGGATGGTAACCATGAGTATTTCTCTGTGTGTGCCGATCCTGAGACTTAAACTCAGGGCCTGGGTGCTGTTCCTTACCTTTATTTAGTTATTTAGCTCAAGATTAGCACTCTACCACCTAAGCCACAGCTCCATTTCTGGCTTTTTGCTGGTTCACTGAAGAAAAGAGTCTCATAGCCAGGTACTGGTGGCTCACGCCTGTAATCCTAGCTACTCAGGAGGCTGAGATCTAAGGATCGTGGTTCAAAACCAGCCCAGGCAGGAAAGTCCATG